CAAGGGAACTGCGGTAACTTTAGTAAATGTGCGTTCATGTAACTGCAGACTACAATTAAAATGAAGCAAGGACAGTAATGTCAGATACTGGCTGCTCCCCCCCCCACACACACACACACATACACACGTACATTGCTCACTGAGCTTTGACAACAATTTTCATCCGGATTGTTATTTGTAGATTATTTTAAATGACTCCATTTCATCTGTTTGAAAGCTAAGCTCATACTTGTATTAGTTAATAATTATTTACTTTGATCACTCGATGCATAATAGAATTTTGTGCGATTTTAAGTGTTATTTCTATTAACGTCCAAACTAACAATGGAGATAGCAAAGCATGGAACTAAACAAGTCTATTTTTGCAAGAAAGATCCTTGTTAAAAAAAAAGAGGAAGGAGAAATAAATGGAAAAGGTTTAATAAAAAATATTATTGGATTTTGAAGGTAGCTTGTAGGATCTTTTCTTGTTTTTATAAGAATTACAGTAGATAAAACTGAGGATCAAAAGAAGCAAAAGTGTCACTATTAATTCATCTGAAAAATTGAACTTTGACTCATTTTAAACTAGTTTTAATTGAAGTGTGTGCTCCTGCGTTTTAAAGCATCCACATTGCAAATTATAACATTCTTTTTCTCTATATGCAAACAAGTTCATTCTCTGTGCAATAAAAAGTTTTACATCAACACAAGAATAACTTCAAACAATGGTTACTTACATGGTTCGTTCCATCATTATCTGTGCTGTTTTGGTTTACATAGACCTAGAGGCAAACTTGTATTGAGGGAGGGGCACAAAAAGGATTCTGGAACATTCTGCACCATTTTTATCATTATAATGTTTCTGACAAGTTACAAAATGTTGTTCCCAAGCAGTGAGTGAACTGTTTTTTTCTACATGAGTGATATCATCATATTGATGTACTTTGGCAAAAAACAAAGATGCAAAAGATGTGGTAAAACACTTTTGTTTTGAACTTGGACCAGGATCAAATCTGGAAAATCTAATTTCAAAATTGTAATGCAAAGTCTGAATTTATCAGATTCCAAGGTCTGAATTTATTTGAATTCTGTTTACGAGGTTAAAACCTACCATCTATTTCAACTCCCATTCACTGTGAATCGCATTCTATTTATTCTCATAGAAAAAAATAATCTTATGGTCCTTTATTTTTTAAAATAGGTACGTTGTTTCAAAGTCACTTTATATTGAGTTATATGATTTTTTAAATATTATATTAAGGGACCTGAACACATTGTATGTTTGAGTTGCAGTGAACATCAAAGGAACTAAGTCTTTTTCCTGACCATAACTCTTGGAACTCTTATATTGAGGTGTAACATGTGCCTGAGGTATTGAACTAAGGTTCTGTATGCTTGTTTTCAAATGGAGATACTGTGACACTGTTAGAAAAGAAAATTAAATTTTCTCAGAGTCCTGGTCAACAAACCTCCAGATTAATTGGCCATTTTCCCTATGGCAATTATTGGGATCTTGCCAGACAACTTGGAGTGGAGTCTGTCACAAATATTCCACGAACCACTAAATCCAGAGTAACAAGCTGAATTTTAATACTAAATTATAGCATTTTAAGATAGATTTTTCCTTGAAGCTGTAAAGATCTCTTCAACAAACTTCTGCCTGTTCAGATGGCTTTACGAAGCTCTTATATTATCCCATCAGGTCTTAATCGATGGCTTCATTTATCTCAGCAAAGTGACACCATCTAGTAGAAAATGTTTATTACAGATCAAATTTCTTCTTTTTCTTAAAGTCTAGGCTGTTTTTGTTTCTGTAAAATCTAAAATACAATAGAAGCGTTGATTCCTTTAGAAAATCAGCAAAGATCATTATATGATGATGGATAATGTAGGATATTTTCTGTAACTAGTCAGATAAGACAAGAAATTATGCCTGGAAATTATTTTCAATGAGGTGTGACAATACAAAAAGAACTGTCAGAGCTAACAATTCAATCACATTCACTGCTGTTACAATCAAGTCCTTTCGAAACAAAATCAAGTTAAATGTGTATAAGCCAAACCACAAATCTCTCATTTCCATTATAATGCAAAGATCACATCATTCCATACATGATAAGCAAGTATATTAATAGTTTTGAGGTGTCAGCCTATTTGTATGAATGGAAAAGTTATGTTAAAGGCTAGAATATTTAATTATAAATAAAACTTAAATTAAATAACACACTGATATGTATACATCAACTGTTAGATGCAAATTGAGGTTTGAATTTCTATATTGCTGACTCACACAACAACTTGCTCCTACATTAGCACTTTTAGGTAATTGAACATCTCAAAAGGCTTTACCAAGAAGGATGGAAACACAAGGGTTAAAGAAGTTATTGGGATGAGTTGTTCCTGGATACATAAGGCCACACAGATTAATGCCAATGATAACAGTTTTTCCATTACTTGTGCTTAATAATCGCAAGCAATGTTTGTCCTCCTGATCAAAGCAAATAAAATCAACGGATACATTAGTACCACATATCCCATGTCATGCTTTACATGAAGTAATTTTTAATACAAGATTGAAGTCTGCGATATCAGCATCAGAAAAGTGAACATATAACGTGTACATTAAATGGCTGCTGCTGTTGAAACAGGATTCCAGTCATCAAGAAATTGCAGAGGACGCAGGAAAGCAGTTAGTAATTTAGATCGAGGTCAGGAGAGGAAAGAATAACGTGAAACTTGGTTTCTAGACTGTAGCATTACCATGGCAGCATATCACCTTCATGCAAAACAAAATCAATATTTCCATATTAATATTATTTTACTAATGTCCAGTAAATAAGGAAGAATGAAATATATGGGAGGAAAATACATGAGCTTTTCTAGATTGAAAATTAAATGAGTCAGTCAGGAAAGGTTAGAAAATCTTGCAGAATTGATTACTTATCGTTTCAGTATTACCTGTGAGAGTAACAAAATGGTCGACAGTTCAACATAGATGCCAGGGTGAGGTATATAGCTAGGAAAAAGAAGGGTATGTGCTTCCTCAAGAATTTCCTAGTTAAACCATCCATATTAACTCATGATGCATGATAATCTTGCTTCTTTAGCCTCGGGTCTTTTTCTGCAGCTGTAGCCATTAGTTACAGTCTAAATTCTTAGACCAGCTCATAAAAGTTATTAATATTCAATTGTGCAGTAAAGACGACTTAATCTAAATTAGAGAGATTTCAACATCCTATTTTTACTATCTAAATCATTATACGCTTTGCTATAACCTCTGCAATTCATGATGACTGGACTCCGATATCAACAAGAGGTCACATAATATGGAAAATGTAGTTCAATACAACTGGACACTTGCTAAAGACAAGATTCAAGACACTTGCTGAGGTATGGATATTCTACGCGCAGTGATATCAGTGGCAGCAGAGATACAGCATTGCATTAGAGACAAGCGCGTTGAAAAAAAAAGGCAGATGTTGCATCCCATTTTGATCTTCTGTCAGACTTGTAAAATGGTGATCAAGTCTGGGAATTTTTAATACAGCTTCACAACCAATGCAACTCTCACTTTAAGAAGAAGATTGGAACTGAAGGACAGGAATGCAGACTCCGGGTGTGTGCTAATGGCAAGCACAGATAAGATGAAGTTGCACATTATTGGAAAGAGCAACAGGCCATGCTGTTCCCATGGAGTCAATATTAACCTAACCGACTTCACTGTGAAGCAAATTCTGTTGCTTGGATGACCTCAGTTATATTTGCTGAGTGGCACAAGGAAAGAAAGAGACGGGTAAAAATTCTAGTCATTTCATGGCTGCACAGAATATCAGGATTGTACTTCGACAAATGAAAAACCGATTTTGTTTTTAAGCCTCCAAACATATAATAGTGCTATTCATTCAAGTGTTAGTGAAACACTACAGGAGTAGAATGGTGGTTCAAGTTATTAGTCCTATTGGTGATGGAAGTTAATGAACAAGATCATGTCTGGCCAAAAATAGATTAATCTTCTTCAAACAATCGACATGTCTCCTGAGTTACTGCGAAACGTAAAATATGTTGTACTTATAACTGATAAAAAAATCGCAGCTGTATTGGAAAATGCGGAGAAGTCTATCGAAATAACGTGCTGAGGAACAGAGTGTATTGAAGCTATGGCTGATGTCAACATCTGTTAATGTGCAATTGCTGGTGAGAAAGATACTGAAGTGAAAGAGATTGATGGGCATGAAGATTGCCTGCCATCAACACCACCTCAGCCACTACGTGGAAGTGTAGATTTGTGAAAAAACATATTAGGGATCATTCAACATTTCACACTTTGGACGATTACCATCCAACAACTGTCAGGGAGAATTGGAAGACTGACCCAGATAACAGACTTTATTGATACAAGTAGTAAATAAAGAACTCCTACTAAACTTAACCTAACCTAACTTTTACTTTTTTTAAATCTGCATTAAAATGCTCACAAGCCTTGTCTAAGTTAATTTAAAGTACTTGGAGGTTTTTCACTGGCCTTTTTTCTTCCATATTTTGATCCTGTCAAATGTTGGACAGTTTTGAACTAAACTAGCATACAACACGGTTTTAGTTGAGCAAATTGACTTTTATTACAGGTAGGGTTCAGTCAAGATGATTTCTCCTGTGATTATACAAAGGATTTATCCTCAAAGGGTTTCGAAAAGTATTTATAATATTGTACAATGTTTTCACTTGTTTTTAATAATAATCATTTCAGTGCAACATCCTGTGGCTGACTTTTCAATGGTTTGGGGCTTAATATTGCAGCTCATCTCATGCAAACATTGGTATATTCATAAAGTTGTTACAACTATTCTTAATTTCTGCAAAAGGATTTGATTTGAACAATGCACAGTAATTATAGAAATATAACATCTATTTCAAGATAGGTTTTCCACAACCTCATATCATAATTGCTTAATACTAAATGAGTAACATATTTCAAACAAAATGACTTGCTTGTGTTAACTGCATCTGTTCTCTCTTCCTAGGCGTTGTACTGATTTCCTTTGCTTTGTATTATTCATTATCGTGATCCTTGGGTACATGGCACTTGGTGTTGTTGGTAAGTATAGTGTAGAAAATTAAATCCGATTAAATCCCTCAAGCTGCGTAGGGGAAAAAATATTGGTAAATACTGCAGTTGAAATATATTCCAAATAAATTAGATAAAAGCCCTGACTGTTCTTGTTTAAAATTATACTAATACTTGAAAGTGACAGATGGAGATAGGAGCTAACATATGTATGTTGTTACCATTGATTCCCCCTTCAAAAATCTGGTTTCGTTACCACATAGTAACTAAAATGTATTTAACTACTGTGTTTGAATTTCCATCTACCTTCTGTGTTTATCAGTGTTCCAAAGAGGCTGCAGTAGTACAAATAGTGATCCAGGGAGAGGTTGATAAGGCCATCTATTTTTCCATGAAGAAAAAGTTGTACTAAAGTCTCAAACCTTACCATAGCATCACGTCATACCAAGACCAGTAAATATGAGGACAAGGGATAAGTGAGGAAAAAATCAACATGTTTCTGTAGCCTAGGAAGTGCAATAAATTAAAGAGAATGTGAGAGCGAAAGATCATAATGACCATGAATCAAAAAGACGTAACATCAATAGCAATATAGGACTATTTTTGTTAAATGTTAGGAAGATGCATTTTCATTTTTTGCAAGCATCTGAGCATAACAAATGTACTTGTAATAATTTATTTGTTTTTTTCTGGATAATGTAGAAATACACAATGATAAATTAGATACACTGCACTATGCTGGAGCCATGGGCTTATTGATCAACTATTTATGGAGCATTGCCATAGAAGTGAGCTTAAAAGCTAGCACAAAGCATTTCTACACAAGTATCCTTGCTCCTGACTGGGCTGTTTCACCAGAAACCACTTCATTTGCATGTTTAATGACATTAACTTAAATTTTTAAAAATCTAGAGATGCTTTAAACATTTCCAGTACATTGTTCTTAAAAAGTAAGAACACCGGAGTAATTGCTATGCAATTATGATAAATCTGCCATGTAGAGCATTCTTCAATATGAAACTCCATGGTTATCAGCTTGAAATGCCTTGTGAGCAAAGGCAACACATGCATTTCATAATCACAGAATTGCTACCAACTTGAGACACTCTAATTGAACTATGGTCAGCATGATTTTATTGAAAACAACACACTTCAAAACTGAATCATTGGATCTCCTCAGGCCAAGTATTTCTATATGCAATGCATTTCTCGGTACAAATCAAACTGCTGACGTTTTGCCGAAGATAATTGTGTTTGTTAGACATATTATTGAGAAACAAAAGAGATTTTACTGAGGAACTTGAAACAATGAAACACCTGCTTGCTCAACGTGCTTGTGTCTTTACTAAAAGCTTCTGTTTCATCAAACAACGATGCCATTTAGACTTCTAACGTAGTGGGTGAGGGAAAGAAAGAAAACTCCTCCATTGTTAGCCTTAGGGTTATAACACTATGTAGACCACTTGGAAATTTGGTTAGATGCAAAAGCTTAAACCACTATACATGACAAGATGATCTTAACTCATGCAGAATGCATCTTGGTTTTTGACATATAAAAATCAACGATCACAGACACTCTCCAGCGTGAAGGACACTATATAAATGATTTGATGGAAACGAGGCCCCAAATTCTACCAAGGTTTTTTTTTCTTTAAATTTAAGATTCCACATAATTTTGGAAAATATTGAAAAATCAGTCTGTTGCAAACTGCATAATCTGTTAAACTGTTGATGTTAAAAAAATGGTTTAATGGCACCACCATGCACCACTAAACGTGACAAAAATACTAATTTTATGTTATAGAACAGCGTGCACTTTAGAGTTAATGGGATCTGTCCCCAATACAGTAATTGATTTAATCTGGACATTTAATATATTCAACCCCTATTGGACAATGTGGTGTGTTACAACAAAGAAAATAAAGATTAATGCCACTGCGAAATTTACCACTTATTTCTTATCCACAACCAACGTATAACTTGATGACACTAATGCCAATTACATTAACACCCAGCATGGATGAAAATGCAATACAAAATTACATTTGTAAGACACTTAAGAAGAGCAAATGTTTAATGATTATGCACAATTTAAGTTTTTTTATTTAATGGGGAATAAAACCTGTATTAAGTGGATATGAACGATAACTGTTTCATGTCTTTAACTTTCAGCCTGGGTCCATGGAGACCCAAGAAAAGTGATCTACCCTACCGATAGCCACGGACAATTCTGTGGCCAGCAAGGCACTGCCAATCAGTAAGTAACAAACAACATATTCCATGAATCTAGTTGGGGAATTATTAATTTGATCCTCAGCGACTTCAGAGACAGAGATTAGCATCAAGATGATAAGACTTTTTTTTGCAGTAGTTTTCCAAGATATTTATTTATTCTTCTAGGGATATCACAGCATTGAATAAAAATGAATCAACCCAGAATTGATGTGTAAATTACAGTGCTGGTCCAATGTTGGATTTTGATCTACTCAGTCTTTAAAAACAGTGACAGGCATGACAGAAAGCCCTTCCATTAGGCTTCCCTTTTGGAAATTTCAGGCCATCAGAGTTGACAGGATATTTGTTAGTGTGTGGGGTGGGAAGGGATGCTCTTTCGCTTCTAGTGTGCAGCCTGAATTGTGAAACTTTGGGTTCCACGCGTTGAAGCTGTAATTTCTGTTTGAACCATTGATTCCAAATCTGAATTTTGAATGCATCATAATGTTCATCAATACTTTGCCTGTCCTCAACGTCCATTTAGTAAAAGTAATACTTCACTTTACAGTATCTTCTGTGAAGTGCTTTGAAACGTCTCAAAGACGTGATAAGGCACTATGTCAAGTGCAAGGATTATTATCATTATTATAACCAATTACTATTTTTGGGGAAGAGTAAGGACATTGCAGTTTACATAGGATCATAACATATGTGATCCAATAGTCTTTAGAGTCTATTTTCATATTGACCTTTTCAATGAATCCTTGCCAATTGTACATTCAGTGTTTAAACCTTTTCAATCAAGCTGTGTTTTTTTTTTACCTCTGCAGGCAAGTTCTTTCACATTTTTATTTGCACATTTTGTGAAAAATGAGGAATAAACAGGTTTTTCAGCTGTCAATTTTGGGAGGAAATGAATAATGGAACAGAAGAACTGGGAACACTCTACATTTTCTTTGCAGTTGAAATGGTCTTTTATGTAGAAGCATAGAAATGACAATTTAGCTATGTAAAACTAGCCAGGAGCACAAAATGGTAAATCTCATCATATGCCGTAAAACTATTAGAATTCATGTGATCGATATTTTGATTCACATGTGGAACTGCCTGGGTTGCAATTTTGTAATAAATTGGATGGATAAAAAGGGCAGCAAAAATCCCATAAGACATGATTTGCCCCCCACCCAGACTTCATAGCATACAGATAATCTTTATTTCAAGAAGAGAAAACCACTAAACAAGAGCTTCTGATCTTCTATCCTCATGGGAACAATTTTCTTAAAAAAATCTCATTTTGCCCCAGAAATATAAAAATGGCCACAGTACACAGATAAGACTTGTATTTAATTAACCTTATCTGGGCTAAGTCTTGCTACAAAAAAGATTGAAGACAGGCCACACAATGGGGTAATTCATCTCATTCTTCCTCTTTGGACATCTCCCACATATAAATCTGTTACTCAGCATTGTTGAGGCTCCTAACTCAGAATTTCTAGCTGTTTCACTTGTACAAACTTTCTGCGGTGCTGAGGCAAATCAGCGATACATGGTTTTGTTTTACTCAAGCAAGTGTCCTGCAATCTCAAGACAGATTGACTGGTGGCAGATTATTCCTTTAATTGTACGCCTTATATTGAGAGAGAAATCACTCGGCATGACATACCATTTGCTGCCACCCTGTGGTCAATACTACAGCGATTCCAATAAAATATTTCTAATAAGAATCGCATTTCAGAAGGTCACAAGTTTTATGTAAACATGGTTTACAATGCTTGCACTGGATTTTTCAAAAAATATTATCTTACATGTATTTCTGTAATAAATACAATACTGTGAGTCTAGGTTTTGAGCTCACTATTGTTTTGCAGTTACAAAGCATCATGGGCTAGTGTAAGAGTGTATTTTTTGATTTCCTGTAAATGACACATTTTGTCAACCAGGGAAACATAATAGCATATGTTTTATTTGTTTAATGCAAGGATTATTTTAGAAATCTATTTCTAAATTAAATTAAATTCAGATTTCATTTTAATAATGAAGTAAATAATTTAGTAAGTAAGCAGAATACCAGCATTTCTATCTCATTTGAATTTGTTATCGTAAATTTTCAACCTTCATGTGAATCCCAATATATTCAGGTGACAAGCAGATGGCCTACAATGATTGCGTTATACATTTGCGACTTTGGCTTGTAGAATAAAAGACTTGTCTATACCTTCGATTCACTGTATATTTCCTGTTCATAATTGATTTGAGTTAGTGCAGTATTTATTAGAATATGGTTCGGTCTGTGATTCAATTCACTGCATCTTTCAATGTCACTGGGAACACTATTGATTCAATTCATAGAGCATTAAGTTTACTAAATTCCTGCAGCCAACAATTCTAAAGCCTTCCTTCATGAAGCTGATCTGTTTCTATTCTGTTCAGCACCCAAACAAATCAATGCAACTTTGAACAGGTTCTATACATTGAATTGTATAAGTCAATCACTGAATTTTGCATGGGGGTGAAGAATATTTATTATTTTTGGATCATAATAATAATAATCCTTGCATTTGATATAGCGCTTTTCACGTCGGGAGACATCCCAAATCTGCGACATATTACTGAAGTACCAATGGACATGAGAGCACAGATATAAAGAGTTTATATCCATGCTGAATTCTTTTCTAGGAACAAGACAATTTTATTCTACTTCAACATTCTCAAGTGTGCAAGTCCTGCAGTGCTTATAAATTTGCAGTGTCCAACGAAGCAGGTAAGCAGAACCACTTCCATTCAGGGTTGGGTAAATAGAACTTGAACTTTTTTTCTTAAAGTGGATTTTAGAAAAATCTCCATGGACAAGGGGGAAACAATCCAAAGAATGAATCAGAGTGGAAAGAATCCAGAGAGCAATAGCTGAAAAAATAAATAAATAAAATAAACCTGGAGGCAATAATTGCTATAAGCAATAATAATAAACAGACAGATTCAAGAGAATCCCCATGTCCCAAGACCTTACATCACATACACTCCTGTGATGTTGCACATAAAGTACTCATTTGGTGATGAACAGTCACACTTACAGTATAAAAAGGGTTCAGACTACATGAATCGTGCTGCAGTCCTACTCTTAATATCAACTGGAGATTTGCACCAGGGCAATATATATGCAGTCAGTGCAAAGCAGATTGCACAAAGCATGTACTTGGTCAGACTCATGACTTTGAAGCAGGGGTCCAGGATCTCACACATTTTTGTACACTGCATCCACTTTCTCAGATGGCTATTGAATTTTCAAACTCAGTGCTTTATTTTTATCAGGGAAACTCTCTTGTATTACTGGCATGAATTCATTCGAATATTATAATTTAATACTGAAAAGGAGGAATAGAAGTTGACAGCTTCTCTATTAGTCGCTCTGCTGACTTGTTGCAGCCACTGACGTGCCCTGATCAGCCCACTATAGCTGGAACCCAAATTCTCCTGAAGGTTTGAAACAGCTGCTTATAAAGGGAAGAGCAGCACTTTCATGACAGTGTCCAGCTCGGACTCTCTCCATTGAGAATCTCAGTGAAAGGACTATTAGTACAGTGCACCAGCAAGGATCAAAAGAATAGAAAATAAATGAGGTTAGTAGTGGTTAGAGGTGATGCCAAGCTTGGAATTTAGAAAGCTCCAAAATGCAGGCAGATGGAAAGCAGGAATTGTATAGTTTTGCCATCCTAAAGAATGAGTTAAAGGGACTTAATCCAAGGGATTAGACCATTAAAGCATCCTCAGTCTAACAAATATGCTTTCAGACAACCTAAAATTCCTCTTTAAAACACCATCTTCATGAAAGTATTGTCAAATCTTTTATTATTCTGTGTAGGCATGATGTGTATCGATGGGATTGATGGAATTTACACTCAGAGGATTTACTTCCCTGCAATGGACTGTATATACTTAGCTACAAAACATAAGTGGCTCTGGAGAAGAGGGGGGCATCATAACCAGTTTCTGTATATTTTTGGAACATTCTTTGATGCTGCCCAATGCAATCTTAATTACAGCAGTTTATAATTCAAATTGAATTGAAATTATTAACATTGTTCAATATTTTCCTCTTATTTTAAACAGCTCTGTGTTACAAAGTGCCCAGACCGGTTTGCAAGTTATATCAACATGCAAGCACAGTCCTACAGAAACAAAAAAAACTATTGGAAGTATTACAGACAGTTTTGCAAACCGGGCTTCGATAACCCTAGAAAGGTTTGTATATGGGAGTAAAATAATATTATTTCTCTTTCATAGGTTCTCTTAATGCCTTAAATTAAGCAAAGGTTTTGCAGCATTTACAACCAAAGCTTCAATATGCTTTCTAATGAATATGAACCAATGTAACCTTCACACTCATTCCAAGATACCTTGTTTGGCTGCAGTATCTTATTAGACAGATTGTAATTTTTTTTCTGCAGTATCTTATTAGATAGATTGTAAATCATGCCATTACTTTGTATGTCTTGTGGGATTTGATGGGATTCAACAGGCCAAATTATGAATCTATGGGAATTGTTTTTCATAGATGAACACCAGTGATATTAATTTTATTTTAATGCTTCCTGTTACAGAATGTGCAAGCTGAGAATGAGCGTCTTCACGTTTTTCCCCCCCAGTGGTTGATTGTACAGAGATGATTCATTGTTATCTAACTTTATTTTGGTTCAGTAGAATCGCATTGATTAATATTTTTCTACACAACAACTATCCCACTATTTTTCAATCCTCTTCAGTGACTGTGATAATGATGGCTGGTTGCTACGTATGGATAAATAGATTGCGTCACTGGGGCAAACACTGATAAAATTGAAACATTCCCACAAAACCTAAAAGGCTTCCTAATATTTAAAAATCAAATTCTGAATAAATATGGAGTCATTGAATTTCAAACAAAGTTTAGATACCGAACAGATGCTCAAATACACACATTGTGCAGAAAAAATTAGATGTCAAACATGTGGTGTCCTGTAGCTCAGTGGTTAGAGCACTTGCCTTGCAAGCAAGAGACCAAGGTTCGATTCCCGGCAGGGTGAAGCATTGGGCTAGTTTCCTTACTCCACACGCCTGATAATAATCCCTCAAGAGAGAAAAAAAATAGGTCACTTCAATCCACAACTGTTCGTGGGACAGTGTTGTGTGCAATTGGTTGCCCGTTTTGCCCTCAAATATACAGTCAATTCACTTTATAGTATATTCTGTGAAGTGCTTTGAGATGTCTGGAAGACGTGAAAAGCGCTATATCAAATGGTAGGATTATTATTATTAAATTCTAAGATTGGCCTTCTGAGCAAGTTTAGCATAGTCAATCGCATCAAAACTACTGACCCTCAACTGTTCAGCACCTTGGGATGTCCTCCCAACGTGAAAGATGCTTTATAAATGCAATTTGTTTGATGTTGTTGACTCAACAATGCTCTGTTTGTTTAACAAAAAAGGAGGCAACCACACAAGATTGTCAATAGGGATTCCTATTTAATAAATTACAGTATTGGTTTGTACATTCACACTTTTTTAATGAAAAAAACTGAGAGTGTTAAATGGTTTGTAATAATAATATAAAAATAGTGTTTTCCAATTGACCTTTGGTAATGCATTTGCCAGAGATGTGCGTCATCTGAAACAGCTTTGGGTAAGACATGTTATGCACCTCAGCTGTTTGCCAAAGTGTTAATAGAGCATTGGAGGTCGTATTCCATCTGTCCTACTTAACAAGACATTCCAATTTTCCAAAAGAAAAGGAAACACACTATTCTGCTAAATGAGCAAAAACAATTTTTTTTTTTTAAATGGTCACAGTTATACAGTACAGCATTGGGCCACAACAGGACTAACTAGCAATTGGTCATGTCAGCCATGGTGCTTGTTGACTGGTATGTTTGTTAGTTACTCATCTTTGAACAGTAGCGTAGTGTCTAGGGTTAAGGATCATCTCTGGATGGAAAGTTCACTGCAGTGCAGTTTAATATGTTGCAGAAATAATCACAGGTGATTGACCTCTCATTGTGACTTTATGATTAAATATTACTGCTAGCTATATAGCTTTTTGGAGTGATGGACATGATGCAGAAGAAATTAATGCAACTTCCTACATCTGAGGTTTGGTTTCTTCCCTTTTTGCTCTGATCAACGCACTCATCACCATGCATTAGTTATAACATTACCAGATACATAGAAACAGCAACTGGTGACATCAAATAAACTAGAACAGATTTAATGAACCCTTCAAAGTTTCACTATATCAGGCAGGTGTGTACAGACATGTATAATTTAATCTTCCTGCAAACATATTCTAATGGCAAAATCAACTATGTACTTGTGCTGACTGACAAAATGCACAGGAGACAGAAAGAGAGGAAAAGCAAAAAGGATCCCAAGATAGATGAAATTTTGCCAAGAATTTTTCAACAGCCTTTAGAATTCATCGACTTAACGATTGCACAAGGAGTACACAAATTCTTAACCACACTTATGCTTACTATTTATCTATTTGCTATGATAAACAGGCTGATATTTAACTTCTGAAAATCAAAAGAAAAGCTACCACATCAGGTCAAAATATTCTTGGTAGGCTTGAAGAAAGATAACTGATTTCAAATTAACTGAAAATGTACCATGTTTCTCCATTATCTTTATATTGGGATCTAAAATGTCCCATTCAGGCATTGCATTTTGTTACTTCAGACATTGACTGGATGTATGTCTCACCAACTCACAGGAACTCTGCTTTGACCCTCATCTGGGAAGGCAGAGCAAAAGGGCACAAGTTCAGAGTTGCGAAGGACAATTTCAGGGCAGACACTAGGAGGTATCTCTTTACCTATAGTGTAATTAACAACTAGAACAGATAACCAGGAGGGTAGTTGAGGCCAGGATGCTGGACTTACTTAAATACAGCCCGATTCTGCATTGCGAGGACAGGAGGTTGGACATTCTGGAAGTAGGAATGGAATTGGACCAAAGGCTTTCTTCATCTGAACCTCTCCGTAAGATTGTCCAAAAAAAAGGAAGAAATTAAGGTTTGAAATTGTTAAAAGCTATGTTTAATGGGAATCAACAGCTGTAAAGGGCGCAATAAGATGAATAACTGGTGCTGACGCATTATCTTGTTCTTTATATTTTAGTCAGTTGCAGAAGTGTTGCGAGATGAAGACTGTCCTTCAATGATTGTTCCCAGCAGACCCTGTACGTATAAGATTTGGGTTGCAAAGCAGTTTTGAGATAAATGTGATTTAATTAAAGTGACAACCACTAAAATGACCTTGATCTATTTTGCAGTCCTACGGAGATGCTTTCCTGACTTTACAACCAAGAATGGAATATTAACTGTAGCGAACAAGACAACTTTCAAAGATGGACTTGGTAAAACACGAAATGTGACTGACTTAAGGGACGCTGCCAAGTACGTAATTTATTCATACCAGCTCTTTAACTGGACTAATATTTCTCCACAGAACTCAAACAAAAGCCAAATCCATTTTCAAAACTTATCCCGTTTGCTGTGGTTTTGTGAACATGAGAGATACTTCAAGAATGTTTAAGAATTAAAATACAAGTGTTAAGGATTGCTTGGTTTTACTGACAATAGATGTTTAATGTGTTTTATAAGTACTCTGAGAGTAAAGTATTTATCTCACACATAACTGATTTCCAGTAGTAACATTAGTACCATAACTCTTCCATCACTTTTATTGGTCTCAATCTCATATTATCAATCCTTAAAAAGCACAAAGCAGGTATAACTGGATTGAACAATTGGCTTGGATAGATTTTTTTGCGAAATAACAGCAAAAAGTAAGAAGAATTGACAGACTTGTTCAAATCAATACCATTCCTGTTTGTTTATTTTTTAATACAGTAGGACTCACATTTCTTATCTTTATAAATCATATAATCATGTATATCATACATGCACTCCAGTCCCATTCAGTTACCTATCAAAAGCAATTAGATTTCTTTGCACTGGTCATATTTATCATCTCCTAAATCGTAACACTGCTCCCCTATTCTCCATTACTCCCGCACTTACCAGCTACATTAAATCACAGAAAATGTAGTGTTGATCTGTCACCACATGCACACTTACCGGTCGCAGTGATGAACTGCTGTTTGCACACTTACGGGCACAATATAAATTATTGATTAAATCAGATTTTATATGATTTATACAGATTTGCCAGCAACTCGGACTTTGAGTAAGTCAGATTAAAACTCTGGTCCACGCCTTTATCACCTCAAGGCTGGACTATGGGAACTCTCTCCTCGCCGGCCTTCCCGGCACCTCCCTCCACAAGCTGCAGGTCATTCAGAACTCTGCAGCTCGTGTACTGTCCCGCACTAGGCTTCGGGACCACATCACTCCCACCCTCGCTCGCCTCCACTGGCTCCCCATCCCCCAGAGGATCGAATTCAAGATCCTCATCCTCACCTACAAGGCCATTCACGGCCTTGCTCCCTCCTACCTCTCCGACCTACTATCCCCCTACCTACCTGCCCGGACCCTCCGTTCCTCTGGCTCCGGTCTGCTCCACATTCCCCATCCCATCCGCCCTACCAACGGTGGCCGGGCCTTCAGCCTCTCAGCCCCTAGGCTCTGGAACTCTATCCCCCAGTGCCTTCGCCTTGCCTCCTCCCTTTCCTCCTTCAAGGCCGGTGTCAAGACCTTTCTCTTTGACCGTGCCTTCAGCTCCCCTCTCGACTCTCTACCCCTCCTCGCTCCCTCCCTTCCCTCCCCCTGACCATTTCCCCCCTGCTCGGGTCCTGACCCAACTGTACAGCGCCTTGGGACGTCCTCCCGACGTGAAAGGCGCTCTAAAAATGGAATCTTGTTGTTGTTGTTGTCATGATCCCTAGTCGTACCATTATTTGAGTTTTACTGTAACAAGCTTGGAAAATTTTATATGAGTACACCCTTCAGAAATGGATTGGATAAAACAGAAGTGAGAGCTCACAGTGAGAATTGTTCAAGCAACATGCAATATAAGACCAAATGATCATACTGTGCCTCTCTTAACAGTTAGATTCCAATTCCCAAAGATATTTGCAGAACACATTTCTCTTTCTTACAGATTTCAAGGCAGCTTTTAGCAAACTACAATGATGCTGTATTAAGACACAGAAAGTCTTAATGTGTCTGAGGCAAAGACTGGAGTAATTAGCAATGATTTTAGATTTTTTTAAAAAACATCCTATTATTCTATTTCAACCAACAAATATATTCAACGCCTTCTTCCATTAGGCTTCATTTTTTCCAAGCGTAAACATCATCATTAGTATTCCAGAAATGTTGACTTGTCTTTTATCGCTACTTTTCTCAATTCCCCTGATAGTTTTCTTAGTTAACGCTAAGGCCAAAATCATCATTACATTTCATTCAAACGGAGTGCAGGAGGGCTTGCATATTCATCTTGCTTTCTTAATTATCAATTTGATTGAGGACCCAGATGATAACTACTAAATGCTGTTACTGTCACCATCACATATGACGAATAAAATGTGTGCAATTTTATAGGTAAGGTGTTAACGTATCTACTTAGCACTGCAATCATTTTATAGCAGAAGTTTGAAATTGTGATAGCTATGATTTTAATTCCTAGAAAATAAATATACATGGCTGAGATTTCCTGTGAGTAGTATTATCAATGCCCTGTTTCAGAATGTATTTCCCGACCTTTACCTCACCAGCAGCAATAAATTACCACCCAGAGATGTACAATAAGTTGATCAGTGATAAATAGTTGCAAATATCATTCATTCCCAGTTTGGCCGAGTTTAAAAATTACTTGTTCTAATACAAACAAAATTATTTTGTCACAACACTTTTCAGTCAAATCAAAATGCAGAGGTACTGTAATCTTCTAAATGGCTTCAGAAGAGTCCTATCTTTATCTTGGCAGGATTGTAGACATAAATGTTCAATCTAATTGGGCATTAGGGGATGTATTTCATAACAGGGCTTGATACCATTAATTCTGTAGCTACCAGTGGTTCATTTATGTAAGCCTGCATATCAATGACATAGAATACACATACCAGAGAATCCACAACTTTTAACAAACAGAAATAAAAATACCCACTGAAACACACAGCATATAGATTAACCAAACAAATGAATGGGTTCATAAATTATTATTATAAATAGTTTATCTAAACCACTTCTATTGTGCATTTTATTTTATGAAAAATGTATAGTAAGTTTTGTAGTTGGTTACTTTTGTAAGTGCAACAAATAGTGTATTTGTTTTTAAATTTACAGCCAAGTTACAACAATCCGTCACAGCCCCAAAAGGTGTTGGAATCATTTTTAAACAATATCAAAAGCTCTGAGTGAGCTAATGTGCGTTAAACCTGCATCAGCTCTTTGGCTGTCCTGCATGTCAATTTTACAGCTCAGTTGGAATTCAGTGTATGTTATGATCTGCTTCAGCCTGTTATACATGGCGGCATCAATTGTTGAAAAATAAACAGTTGTATGAACATTTGAGGTAGATTTACTTTATGATGCATGTGTTTACCGGGTAACATGTTGGATATGTATAAGATCTGTTTAACGACTACATGGCTGTGGTTGGAGTCCCAACATTAGTTCTCAGTTTTAAATAGTTTTTCTTGAATAGTTCAAAATAAATGATGGAACAGTGCGCAAACTGTGCTATGCTTTGTCGTTGCAAAAGAACCATTCGTCTCCTCAATTTTCCTCAAAAATAGACTATATTGTTGATGTTAAATGTTCCCGGGGAGATTAATTTATAAAATAGGCTTGTGCACTGTCCTCCCATTGCCTAAAGGGTAATGAGCTATACGGGCTGGGATGTTGGGAAATATCAACTCAGTTGCTAGTGGCAATGATCATGCCAACCTCACTCGAGTGGCTAAGCATAGCTGGTGGAGAATGTCACAGTGGGTAAAACAGAGAGAGTTTTGTTTGGTGGGAGCTTTGGCATATTATTATTGGAGGCAGCTTTGTTCTGAATTTAACCTATGTTATATATGACCTGGCTCATAATTGGATACAGTGACTATCAAACACATTGTATATAGGATTAGGCACTGAGCCAAAACAAGGCAGCAGATAATGGAAATATTTAACCTGGAGAAAAGAGTTAATATTTGACAATTGCAATATTTGTATGTGCAGGAAATATATATAGTGCAATGTTTGAGAGTCTTCAGGCACATAGCAAATCAAAGCTATCCAAGATAAAAGGGAGTTCACATGGGAACAAATTAATAAAATCAGATTAATCTCATTAACAAGATTGTGCATTGCAGTACAATCCTCATAATGGGATATCCCAGAGAGGTCATTCTTTTCTGAAAGGTTTGGCTACTTTTTAAAAAAGGCTACTTTCTAGTTTTGTCCACTCAACAGTATAACATTAAATAAATATATTCTTTGGTATTATCTCTGGGATCTGTGTATAACCATACAAAAAGGTTATTTGTTTAAAAACAATTCTATCAGGAGTTTTCTTTTTGACAAATTTGACTTAACAGGAAATGAATGTATCCTTTCTGCAAAAAGTAGGATCAAATCAGACCAGCAATTATGGCATTCATTTCCTAATATATCGATTATTTGGTCAGTCAATCCACGACTGTTTGTAGGACACTGCTGTGCGAAATTGGCTGCCACATTTTGCCCACAGAATACAGTCAATTTACGTTACAATATATTCTGTGAAGTGCTTTGAGATATCTCAACAAAATGAAAAGGTGCTCCATCAAATGCAAGGATTATTAATTTTGAGCCAGATTCAATTTCAAGTCTGGCTTCTAACCTCAAACACTGGAGGATTTATTTTTATTTTATATAAATTTGGATAGAAAATGCTTTTAATATTATAATTATTAATAATGTTTAATTCAAATTTAGATCGAGGAACTAAATTATGAATAAAAGGTGATTTGATTTGTGAACAGCGTATGCAGATTATTCTGATGCCTGAAGATGGAGTTTTTTGAAAATTGTTTAATATCTCAAATTATTTAATTAGCTTTTCCTTAAAATAATACATCAAAGTCCCTGCCTGATCCCCTAATTATGAAAATGCATAGGTGTCATCAGAATGATGTAGTAAAGATGGACAGTTTGTGCTCATATTTTTCACACATCAGGTTTTGATCTCCGTTCATCATGATTTGTAGGTTGGCAATGAGCAGGAAATGTCCTGGCAATCGAGTCAAGTTGAGTGACGGAGAGAAAAAAGAATGTTGTTGAAAAAGTTTATTAGAAGAGGTCATAGTCCCCAACTTAGATGGGGTTGGCTGAATAGACGGTTTAGAATTAAATATTTGTCACAGAGGATTGGAACATTTTGTGCAGCGAATGACTACGTGATGACTGATAGCATTGGCAGTTTCAAAAGGGAATTGAATAGGGTTTTTGATGGGAAAGGAGATCACAAGATGGTGAAACATTAATATTCATCGTGTTTCCAGAGGTTGGAAAGCAATCCAAAGTGGACATTTGAATAACCATCTTAGGAAGAGTTAATAACCTCTCAGTTTTATCCATGAGCTGAATGGAAATGCAAGGTTCCACATTCATATCCCATTTTACTGTGTGTTTCTTGATGGTTTCAGTCACTCTTAGTTTGCTTCAAATTATGAAACGGATTAGAATTTGATGCAGTGATCATTTTAAATTGAATCTGATGGTCAGTGTTTTTTTTAAATTCTGCAAAATAAAGTAAATCTATTGCTGTGCATAACTGACTGACTTATAATACCACATTAAGAAAAGTACAAGCACAGAAATACAATCAGCTCCTGTAGATTATTTGCCTTAGTTGTGGTTTGCGGACACAAAAGAAACATTTATCAAAGCTGGTTCTGATAGCAAGGAATGCACTTAATAATTTTCATCACAGGTAAGGATATTGGACTAAAAATATAATCCACAGAAGTCAAACATGCAACAATATTTCTAAGATTTTCAATCCCCCGAAGATTAAACAAATGATTTTATATTCCAGTCAGTAGTTAAAAGATGTAAGCCACTCAGCCATTGATTTATTACCTATCAGATATTATCATACTACTCATCTTTGAGTGGAATTGTTTAATATATGTAGGTAAATAGTCAATATAACAATTAAATCCAGCTGCTATATGGTTTTACAATCAATATCCTCAGTTTGTCAGAATAATTTTCTATCCCAAACCTGGTGTGCTCCATTATTTCATAGAGAATCTTTTATGCTGCATCAAACTTTTTGTCACATCCTTTGAGTCTTCATTTACACCTCAGGCAAACAATTCCTTTTTATGGAAATGTGATGATTTTCTTTGAGGTGAGTGGTGGCTATCTTCCTGGAAACTGCCCAACAACAGGGGTGGCCATTCCATTGAAAAATTGTACAAAACCACATCAAATGGCCACAAAGAACCCATTTTACAGCTGCCGAGATTCCTGTTGCAGCCTGGATGACTCAAGGAGGTGGTTTCAGCAAGACACCTATTGGGCTGCATTCAAAAGTGATCACTTAACATGCATCACCTGATCTCATGATTTGGTTCAGGGCAGCACTTGGAGACCTACAATTAGCCTCAGTGTTTAGTTTAGGGAGATGAGGGACGAGCCAAGATCCTCTCTGCTAATTGCTGTTCAGTGCGTTGTACTGATCAATTGAGAAATGTGTGAACCTCTGGAGAGACCAGGCTTGGTTGTTATGCCCCCTTTGGTTGAATACCCTGCCAGCACTCACTGTCAATTTTCACACATGTATAGTGGCCAATTGAGCAAGCTATCGGACCTCCCAGAAACTTTCAGCAATTCACTTATAATGTTATTAAAGAGCCAGTTTCCTCACTTAGAAAGTGGTGGGGAGCAGGCAGCATTCTGAATTACTCTACACCGCTTGTAAGCAGAAGAAAACAAACCATTCATCAATCTGAGCCAGCTTTTTTTCTGCTATTTGAGAGGATAATTCTTTGTATTGCTGCATGTGGCTTTCACGTTCCCCACATTCAACCGATTCTTTACACATTTGGAGCTGTTCTTTCCTGATATTTTTTGTGCTGAACAATTTCCCACATGACTGGTTTATTTCAAATTAAATCAAATATAACTAGAGCTACTCTAGTATCCTTTGTATTTGACAATTATTAGTAATATCTCTGCAACCAGCCCCTTAGATATTTTTCACTTTCAGTTTATTGCGTTCTTAGTATTTCACACTTAGAGGTATGTTCTCTCATTTTAAACCATGGAAACACCAGAAGGCACCAATTCTTCTCATTCCCTTTCCAAGAAAGAATTTTGCTTATGAACTATTGTTGTCAAAGAACAAAATGTTGGACTCAAGCAAGACTCTCAAGATTTTATTAATGAGATTTCCCACAATTGTGGAATATTTTTAAACATAGAAGGCCAGACAGCTTTCCACAGAACTTTCCACAATTATGATCTTAAATTTTAAGACAAAATGTTCTCACAAGATAAGACTGGTGAAACCTTAGGCCTTTCGTCTCTTCAACTGATGTGATCATGTGCAGCATTTTCATACAAAAGATATGAAAGTCATGTTTAAAAAGTCATTAAAATGTGTTGCCCAACATTGTACTTTTGGAACCTTAGACAGGAGCACCAGGCTGCTTTTGGTAATAACATGTAATACAAGATAACAATTCCAAATTTAATATTTTGTGTTTTATTGTTATTAGATGGTGTGTTCATTCCAGAGATCCCAGGTTTTGTTTTGCATTCTAAATTCCAACTGAGTAAATAGTCATATGGGACAAGAAATGCTTTACTAACACCTGTTGTGCAGCATCTTGTATTTTTTTCAGAAAACAATTATTGCTCCCCAGAAATTAAAATATTACACTATTGTTTTGAGCATTCTGTTTCCTTGGCACCATCTTCTGTACATGGCTTCTACAGACACATTACATCAATCATGTCTATTGATGTAAGTTATTTTAATATGAGTGTGTATAACAGAAGTAGAGTGTAATATTTACTCAGAAGCGAACAAGTGTGTGCTGCAAATTTGATGAATTCTGAAAATGGGAGAGGATAAAATATGTTCATGGTTTCTCAAATCCAGTACCATTTGTTCAAAATGTCTTCACAAGATTTTTCAAATTTAGTCAAGAACACTCAATGTGAGTTAAAAAGCTGCTTAGATTTCTGATATTACAAAGTTAATAATGATTAGTTTCTTATATTGATTTTGCATTCTGTCAGGATTGTAAAATTTCAGTTAATCCCAACATCTTTTTGGATCTTCTAAGCTCCCTCAGCATTATTGCCAAGAATAGACAAACGTCAGAATGCTTTTATACATTAATACCAGTGAAGCCACAAACATATTTTGATGTCTACCTTAATACTTTATCAAGATTAGAATTACAGGATTAGGTGGTGACAATCATTGAACAGAAGCCTTTCAAATATAAGCTACATTGTCAAACGATTGAATTCATTCAGCTCTTAATAGCAGACGTGAGTCAGGACTCGATGTTGTTACATTTTGATTCTATAAAATAAAGCCTCCAAAAGCACTGAATATTGTTGCATTTCCCACTAGTTTCAATGAAAACATAATGCTACAATTGCTTAAAATGTTGACATAAAAGTTGATAAACATGTGCATCCATAAACCAAAATAGCTTAAGCACAAAATCAGCTACTTTCATAATGGGATGATACTACAAAATGTAACACGAATGACTTAAATGCATTTGTGAACCGCTGTGAGCATCACAATAGCAATTACAAAGAAAGCAGTAGCAACCCTCTGTTTCAGAGATGACGAAAGGACAGAAATTATATATAAACATTACGACTTAAAAACAAGTGGTTGAAACGATGAGAGGATAACTTGATGAATATTGCTTTCAATTTTGCAAAAGATAAATGCTGCAATTATATCACATCCAGGATAATCATTAACTGCATTCTGTACGGTTTATTCCTCAAATTTCTTTGCTTATTTTTAGTGCACTGTATTTTTTTCTTTGGTTTAGGTTCCTCTTTGTCATATATCAAAAACATCACATTTAACCCAGAGGGCAGCCAGGAGATTCACTGGCAGGTCAACAATACCCTTCTCCTCAATCTTCTTTATATTCCTCTGGGGAAGCAACTGTCAATGTTTCAATCTATTGGCTTAAGTCAGGCTGGGAACTTTCTATGCGTGGAAGGGCTGGTGTGAAGCCATATCCTTCAACTTTGTGATATCTGATTATTTCAGCAAGAAATTGTGTTCCTAACTGGCAAATATTGTTGAAATGTATTACAAACAACCCATTGTCAGTCTATTTTTCAAATGACAGTAATTCACTTCTGTGAGGTGCAATGTATTGTACTTCCTATGGTAATGCTTAATGCATTGCTTCTAATATGGTATGACTTTATTAACTTCTCTTGCATTAGTCTGATAATAAGCTGTTGTGCTAATTGTGCCATCAATAGTGATTACTATGAATAAAAAATAGGCAGTAATATGATTGAATTTGTTACAGTGGCATAAATGATGTTCTTGATGCGAGAGAGGTTGGAATGAAGATTTTTGAAGACTATACTAACTCCTGGTTCTGGATTTTAATGTAAGTATAGGTTTAGAATAGTTACAGTAGGGACGCAGAAAATCATTTGTTTAAGTGCAGTGGGTGCCCATTTCAATGCATTGCAATCAGCAGTCAAAATACAAAAGATGATGATACACAATATTGCTTTTAATAGTGCACAGACAGTGTAGTTAAATTAACATACAATTCCCCAATTCACTCTTACCTCCATCCAGACTTGCGTGTGTGCAGTCATATAGTTCCAGGGCCACACTCTGATATATTGCCTAAGTGGCCCTTTTTTATGCATAAGCCTAGACGGCAAGTGTCTTGTCCTCACTACACAGCACACATGTCCCACTTGCAGCAATTCACTGGATTGACATAATCAGCAGGAACTCTTGATGAAATTCCCTCTTCCTAAGCCAGAAGGACTGAGAGTTCAAATTTGCACACAGCTGTATATGCAGGATTGTTTTCATGCATATCATACTATCAAATTCAGCTATTAAGCAGTAAGTACAGTATTATTTTACTGTTATAATGGTGGAATTTGTTCATTTGGTAACTGAACAAAACTTGTACATTACGAAGTTGAGAGGAGAGGAGGGGAAGAGGAGAAATACAGCAATAAACTGAGAAACTATGACTCTCCCCTGTCAAATAAATATCAAGAAACACATTAACCTGGTAGTAAAGAGGTGAAAATCCAGCGAGGATAGATTAGAACTTACAAATACTCAGAAAGCCAGTTCAGCTATTTTAGTGGATAACATATTGAATGGATACCAATTATCAGGTTATGATGTTAAAGGGAATGGCTACTTTTTTGCTGAACTAGTGAATCTCAATTTGCGGATTAATTTGAAGTTGCAATAGACATCTATCGGTTTCTCATAATTTTGGGCTGCAAATTGACCTACCATAGGCTTCTGTTACAATGCAAGGGGTGCACATATGTTTCTGTTAAAATGTGATAAGCTGTGCACACAGCACTTTTCTTACAATGTAATAAAACATGCCAATCCACTTCTGTTTAATGTGTTAATGTGTGGCTAGAGACATCTGTTACAATGTGATAAGGTATTCACCTAGGGTTATACTAAAATGCAACTGGAGGTGAACATAATTAGGTTAGACAGTAAGTTTCTTTCTGTAATTAACATACATTTTTATTTATAGTGGGTTGGTCATTGCAATGGTTGTGAGCTTGGTGTTCATCCTACTCCTGCGGTTTACAGCTGGCGTACTATTCTGGTTTGTGATCTTTGCAGTAGTTGGGGTGATAGGCTATGGTAAGTATTATTTCCTTGTGCATGTTACAGTTGCATTGTGCATTGAGTGTACACAGTATGTGCATGTAATTGAAATTAGACTAGCCCCAGCTGCTGGGATGTATTGCACAAGCTTTTACATGTTTTCCCTGTTTGAGAGACAGAAAAGTATTATTCATTAAATCAGAGGTTACTGTATAACTAAAAGGGCTAATGTAAAAAACTGTGTACAGCAAATCTATTTTAATTGGCAATCCAAAGCGTATGGATGCAGGAACATGCTGGTTCTGAAGAATGACAGATATGGTCACAAACTACAAGATGAAGACAAAAAGCGAGAAACAATGTTTTAGCAGCAAGACAGGTGGCCCTATTGAAACAGAGAAATCATTCCCTAGGTCATGCATTAATCAAAACCTTCTCAACAATAGTTCATCTTTCCATAAAATCTTAGATATATATCCAGAAATAAAATATTTTATGGAAAGATGCTCTCATATTATAATTATCATTATATGAAAGCATATTATAATAATAATTATTTGATGTCTCAATGTGTTTCACAGGAATTTACTGTGTGTTTGAAGGTGAATGCAGCAACCAATTTGCACACAGCAATGTTCCACGAACAGCCGTAAAATGAATGATTAATTTTGTTTGGAGATTGTTGGTCAGGACACCACCAGGAGAAATTCCCTTCTCTTTTCAAACAGTGCCATGAGGTTTTTAATGTCCATTTGAACAGGTCCATTTGAATGGTCTCATACAAAAAGACCACACCTCTGACAATGCTGCACTCTTCAGGACTGCATTGGACTGTCAGACTTATCGACTATGTGATCTCAAAGTCCCAACACAGGGCTAAAACCCGTAACCTTCTGACTCAGAGGTTTGAATGCTACCAACAGAATCAGGCTGACATATGTTGTATCTTTTTTTAAAAAAACACAGGATACATCAAAAAGAATTACTCTAGATGCATTTACCCTTTAATTTGATGGAAGAGGTTTGTTGTTGAAGGCAGCCTAGTTCCAGTTTCCTGCCAGTTAACAGCCAAATCCTTGTGAGTGTGGGGATGACAGATTGTACCCACTGTACTTGTGAACAGGTGGCAGAGGTGGATTTCTGTGTGTTGTGTATTCACGGGGGTGGGCAAATAGCAAATCACATTGGCTGTATGATTATTAGAGTTTAGAGCTTTACCTGCAATTTGATTAAATGAGGGTTATTTTTGTGAACTTTTATAATTTTTGATAAAATTATATCTTGATGACCTGCATCCATATTCCAGTGTGTGCTGTCATTATCTGCGCTAGTTTATGTCTCACGATAATACCCTTATCTGTCAAAGGAGGCAGAATGCATTTAAAAATGTGCTTCAAATCAGTTTTAACCAGCTTGTAACATTGCATGTAACAAAAGAAAATGTCAAAATTCAGATACAAGTTACAATTAAAAGTGGTACAGCCAGTGAAGGGTGAGGGCACTGAATAATCTTGCTCGAATTAAGGGCTAATTGACCAATTATCCAAATGATTTACTGGCAAGCATTGTTGTCATTTGAATATTATGTTACTGAATGAACTTGATGGACAATTTGCAACAGAAAAGACAGCTGTAAAGTCCTTTTATAATTAGATAATGGCTAACAGCATTTGTATCCTAGTTTCAAAAATTGAACATTTAAATAACATTTAAGTAGCAATATTCTGCAAGATTTTTGAAACCTTCCTTGTCTTGGAAATGAACAGGCAGTATAGACATCTTTGGACAGCATGGGAAGCACTAAAGAGGTGCCAAAACCCTCTTGTGCAGTCAGAAAAATAATAACATGGTATAAAGCAAAGTAATTATAGGAAGCTTGATTTATACTTCATTCTATACATCAGATTGAATCAAAAGAAAAACACCTAATTTGGCGATTTTGGTGAATGCACATAACGGCGAATTGGGGTATTAGGTATTAATTGGATCAAAGAGCTTTTTGCATTGATCAACATTTTGATTATGTTAATAAAAAGTTCTTTGATCGTTCTGAGGCCATGCATGGGACAGTCCAACTGCTTGACACGGGACTCAGAAGGGAGCCCAAGACAATTTGTCGCTGTCAGTTTTACACTGCACCGCTGCTGAAACCTCCTCTTTCAGATGGTGTGGGGAGAATAATTCCAGCACAATTTGTGTTGGCTGACCCTCTATTTATACAGCACAATTGTTAGTACATTTCTGCCCCAAACTGTGACAATTTGCTACCAAGGGTGCAGTATGATTGCAACACAAACCAAATGCAGTGGAGCAATGTGATTCATTGCAATGTCAAGCCTTGAGACAAACTAGAGAATACACTGCTTTTATTTTCTTCATACAATAGACTGAGTAGGGTAATGCTATTCTGTAACTAGTGCAGCTAACAACTGAGATTTCTCATTGATTAAATAGGATTGGCTTATTATTTGGTGGTCTTGTCTGATGTCTTGTCAGGTTTTGTTAGTTAATATGATCATCAAATAATATTAATCCCTACATTTAATATAAAATTGAAATGTCTGAAAATGCTTCACAGGGAACTACTATCAATTGTAGTGACTTTATTCATAGGCAAACAGATGCCTTGGAATTATTATAGCCAGTGCTTGTTCGACAGATCTTTATCAGATCTCACAAGAATCCCAAGCAAAACAGTTATTTTCAGGAGACAAAAAAGTAAAAATATGTAGAATCCTGGGGTTCATTTTGCAGAAAGACATCCAGAATTTGTAACAGGCGGTGATGCCAAACTAACTTATTTAAGACAAGATGCTGAAACCTAGCTCCTCACTGGAATTGTGGTGCTCTGATCAGCAGAACTGTATGAAAGATTGGTCACCTAGCACTGTCTAATAATCTGTACACATGTGGCATTACAACATTGAGCTATTTCTGCTTGCAGGCTTCAATGTTCCTAATAAGATGTTGTGCTGAAAGTACATTTAAAGTAGTATCTATAGTTAATGACAATCGAATGGAAAAAGCTAGGGAACTGTAACATGAAAAGGAGCATGGAGCTCTCTGCAGCCAATGTAATGTCCAAAAGAGTACATGAACATTACTTTATACAAGTCAATAATGGTAATGCTAAAATCGAGCATGAGAAAATACACACTGAGGAAACCAATGTGACCTTGATCATAACCAATTGTAGATAGCACAGACAATAATGAAAGAAGCGTTGACACCCCATGATAATAATCCTTGCATTTGATATAGCGCTTTTCACGTCAGGAGGACGTCCCAAAGCGCTTCACAGAACACACTGTAAAGTGAATTGACTGTATATTTGTGGGCGAACGCGGCAGCCGATGCCTTCAGAATGGGGAAAAACATGGTATGGAAAGAAATTCATCAGTGAAGCTCTCCATATGGAAAGTTCGCTTCCTCCACCAAACTGCAACTCAGAGCTCCAATGCAATGATGGACGTTGTTTTTGGCTCTCATGTGAATGAGCTTGAGAAGTTGTAAAGTTTCTGTATTTGACTGACAAGCAATTACTTCAAATCACCGAGCAAGAGATCTGACCTCAGAAATCATGCTATGCTTTGCATAAAAGCTATGTGGGTTGACTCAGTCTCTTAGATGTAGTTTCACCATTGGCATATGTTCACTGGGTAAAGTACAGAAAAGGTCAGACTTACAATTAGTGGCATCAATATGAAATAGTTAATAGGATCTGACACAGATCATAAGCATCTACAAATCTTAAACTCTTTCATCCAATACTTCTACAAGGTTCTTGTTGCTGTTTTATCAGTCTTCTCTTTGTTGGTATTGGAAAATATCTTTGTTCGCAATATTAATAATAATCCTTGCATTTGATATAGTGCTTTTCACGTCTTCTAGACGTCCCAAAGCGCAACACAAATATACTGAAAAGTGAATTGACTGTATATTTGTGGGCGAACGCGGCAGCCAATTGCGCACAGCAATATCCCACAAACAGTCGTAGATTGAAAATGACCAATTTATTATTGTTTTTTGTTTTGAAGGGATTATTATTAGGCGTGTGGAGTAAGGAAACTTGCCCAAGGTTTCGCCCTGCCTGGAATTGAACTCAGTTCTCTCGCTTGCAAAGCAAGTGCTCTCACCACTGAGCTACAGGACTCCAATTATCCAATAACCAACAACAAATTGCAAATCTAAGATCAGATTTTAATTCAGGAGTGGGGGAGGGCGGGTGAAGCAGTATCGAAATTTGACCAAATTTCCTCATCTTACAACTAAGAAAATGGCATTACTCATAGGCAGAAAGGTAATTTGTAAGTTTGTGCCTTTGAACTCATAACTCATTCAGGAGGGCCACGTTATCTTCAGTGATGCACAACATTCTCCCCTACTGGAATTGATGAATAGGTGGCTGCTGTTGACAGATGATGTAAGACTCATTTTAGATAATCTTTTCAATCACATTTTCCCTAGGCTGTATCCATCGACTACCCCTGAGAGGCTACTGAAAGGGTGGAGAATCAATCATCTGATTCTAGTGGTAGAGTAGTGAGCAGGAAATTAGGGGCCACATTTTTAGGTGATCTATATGCGTGTCTGAATGAATCGAAACATAAGTAAAGGTTACTCTCAGTGACAGGTGTCTACTGATATGCTACTCGTAGTCTGATGTGAAACTATAGAAGCGTATTCATTACAAATCAATACATCATTAAAATCACATATAACACAGTAAAGTTACCCAAATGGCGCTTGGAACAATCGTATTTCTTCCTATCTTTACTTTCTCTTACAGGTATCTGGCACTGTTACTGGGAGTACAGCAGCCTCAAAGGCAAGCCTGGAGCAGATGTTGCTATCTATGACATTGGGTTCCAGACAGATTTCAGGATCTATCTGCAGCTCAGGCAGACGTGGCTGGCTTTTAGTAAGTCTAAAAGTGTCTTGGAAAGATTGTTACTCGCAGAATAAATTTATGATGAACAATCCCATCCATAACGCCTGCACACATGGCTTTCTTAGATTAGCCGAAAAGTAGCAGTGCATCAATAGTCACCTCATCTTCTTGGAGCATCACAGATCTAAATCCTGTCTGTTACAGAATTAAATTGGAAGTTGTTAGTTTAGCTGCCTCGGGCAAAGTAGCAACAGGAAAATATGGTCTTATTTCTAGGCAAGCTATCAAATAGAGCTACATAACGGAAAATATAACAATACAGAGTCTTAGCTTTTCACGTACTTTTAACATAAGCACAGTTGTGAAATGCCAACAAACAGAGTAAAGGAATGTGAAGTTGCTGCTTTAAATCCAGACTGTGTTCATGATCTCCACTGTACTATCAGGGAGAGACAGAAACTACATGGACTTAGCACAGGTCGAAAAGAAAAATTGAGAGCAGCTCACAAATACTGTCTTTCCATCGCGTTCCAGGAATCAGGCAAAGAGTGAAAATAATGTTTTAGGTGCATGCTGGCCACCCATTATAACATCATTAAATTATAATTATATTAAAATGCACGTTTATATTTCTCTTTTCTAAAATACAGCGTTTGTATTTTTCAGTGATTTTTCTTTGCATTATTGAAGTGATCATCATACTGATGCTGATTTTCCTAAGAAAAAGAATTTTTATTGCAATTGCACTCCTCAGGGAAGGGAGCAAGTAAGTGACTTTGTATTATACGTCCTGTCCATAAGATTATTTTTGGATCTATACACAGACTTGTTCTCTCAAAGGCTGTGGTGCATCACTGCTACAGTGAGGGACCATGTATTGCACTTTACATCAGTTATTTGAGAACTGAAAAGACATTTTACACTAAAAAAGGGTTTTCTTAGCAGTTACTGAGGTGCATAATATTAGTGAATAAAAACATTTTTCTACCTTTTTGGCCCAAAATGATGACGTAATGGAGCGCTATATCTAGGATTACTATTATTATATGACAGGTTTTGATAGAGTAGTTAGGGAGAAACTGTTCCCTCTGGTGGGAGGGTCAGTAACCAGAGGACCCAAATTTAATATAATTGGCAAAAGACCCAGAAGGAAGACGAGGAGAATTTTTTTTAATCCAGAGAGTTGTTACAGTCTAGAATGCACTGCTGAAAGGGTGGTGGAAGCAGAATCGATAATAACTTTCAAAAGGGAAAAAAAATGCAGTGTTATGGGGTATGAGTAGGGGAGTGGGTCTAGTTGTTAGTTCTTTCAAAGAGTCGGCACAAGCCTGATGGGCCGAATGGCTTCCTTCTGTGCTGTAAGATTCTATGATTCTATATGTGGATGCTTTTTGGGGCATTTACAAATATAGTCCAAATGTCTATATTATGTTTTATTAAAATTTTAAAATGCAATTGAAATGCAATGATATTAAGTGTTATGATTGTTTATGCATCTTAATCTTTTTTCATCAGGGCCATAGGATATATTATGTCTACATTATTCTACCCGATCATCACCTTTGTACTCTAGCCATCTGTATTTCCTATTGGGCAGTCACATCTATGTATCCTTTGACAAAAGCCTGCAATATTGATAACTGATATATTATTATATAGTACTGCAAGTAGAAGAAAACACAAGACTGTAAACTGCAGTGCCTAATCTCTAGTTGCCATTTGCGGTGATCTGTTTGATCCTTTTAGGTCACAGTCATGCATTTGGATTGCAGAATTAAAGCAATGATAATACGAATGGTTCCACAGCACATATAATATTCAACACCCATTGCTATTCATTCTTAAAATGAATAGCAATGGGTATTGAATATTACCTTCAAATTTATAAGTCAACACTAATTAGCCTATGCAAATGCAAGGCTTATTATTGGCAAAGGGGCACTACAACATTACAGACATACTGTATTTATTTAATTCTTCAAATGGTCTGTGGCACGATCTCTGTCTTACAAAGTTCTACAATATTTTTAAAAAATCTAAATATTTTGACAGTTTGTGTTACAGTATGAATAATAAAATATTTCTTAACATAAAATATGCAGATTCCTATCAACGTCTGGTGAATCAGTATACAAAGTGATGGCCAACCAGGGCCACTGTATATATGCAAACAAAACATGCAATCCTGAGGTAAGTATTCAGACATATAGTGATAAAAGAAGTCAACAAATGTACATTGAACATGATTCTTTAGACACCTACCTGACTATATCTGGTAAAATGGATTCTAGCAGACCTAATGGAATGAATATGTTGTATTAAACAGATTTGATCTATCTACACTTCACATGACAGTGGTAACAAATTAAATGTCCTATTTTGAGAACGGAAATGCCATATAAAATAGACACTGTCCAATCTGCTACCTAAATAAATAATAGATATTTATTATTTATTAAATTTATTATTTATTATATTTATTGTTACTATTTTGAAAAAGAATCATATTTATAACATAATGTCAGAAAAGTGGAAAAAGAGAAAATTACCTTATGAAGATTCCATCATTGCCTGACTATCATTTTATGCGCTGTGCACTTTGTTGCATCATCAAACAAAAAATACCTTATTGGTCATGCTTCACTATTACAATATACACTTACAATATTCCCAGTATAAGTGTTTCTTAACTGGAAAGTTTCTATTTTCTGGTGGCTACATTGAATAATCAATTGTTTTGTGTTACAAGAAGCCTGATTGCATGTTCTCCTTTTTATTAGACATTTAATTTGACCAATGTCAGCAAAGTATGCCGGGGTGCTCAGTGTTCATTTGCTTTCTATGGTGGGGAAAGCATTTACCACAAATACATCCTTGTCCTTCAAATCTGCAACCTTGTTGTCTTCTTGTGGCTTGTGAACTTTGCAATTGCATTGGGACAGTGCACGTTGGCTGGTGCCTTTGCCTCCTATTACTGGGCCTTTAAGAAGCCAGCTGATATACCAGCATTCCCTCTGCTTGCATCATTTGGCCGTACACTGAGGTAAGAACAAGGATATCAATTCAGGTTACTTGTTATCATTGTATTCCACTTACATTTCTCACTGCGAGCTGCCTCTGCATTCTTTTTTTTATTATTATTATTTTTTTAGCTGGGAGTGAGTGGGAAAATAGGAAGGTTTCATATCTCTGCATTTTTATCGCATTACTGTTGTTCTCTGATCAGCCAACAAATAATTAAATTCTGCAAAGAATGATTACCTTGACAATTTTTTTCCCTTCGCTGCCACCTAGTTTACCTGCTAGACTCATGGCCATTGAACTGTATGGGAATTTCTAAGAGTAGCGAATAAAAATAAAAGTGACAATAAGACCTACTATAGTTAGGGTCCTAGAGATCAGTTACTTTCTCACATGAGACTAAACAATTTACAGTTACAGGGTTTTCTATGTTATATATTATTGTGTCAGTAGATGGCAGCATTTGCTCATATGTTTTAAAAAGTGACTGAAACGACTTGCAGCACGAATACTCCAATCCACATTACGTTAGTTGTATTTGATCACTCTGTTGTTCATTTAACTAATGATTGGTCTGTTTGTTACTCATTATTCTTAGGTACCACACAGGTTCATTGGCTTTTGGCTCTTTAATTCTTGCAATTGTCCAATTTATAAGAATCATTTTGGAATACCTGGATAATAAACTGAAAGGTGAGTCCTTACAAAACCCCTTTTCGATGCCAATAAATGAAAAGTGAGTCAGTGACTATTTGTTGACTAGTCTGTTCTATTGGTAGGTGAAGATGATGAGTCTGTTAGTTGTGATGGAGTATTAACTGTTTGGACGTGATGAATGTTATTGATTTATCAAATATGAGTCAATTGTATTCACAAGTGAATATTTTCCTTGAATTAAAAATATGGTTAATTGTCTCTATTATTTCTATGTGTAGTAATATGTAATACTATAGGTTAGAAATTATGTATAAATAGTAGCTCTCCATGAGCAGTATTCTAGACAAACTTTTCTGACAAAATAATGAACCACAAGAGCAAAGCTTGAAGAGATTATAAAGTCATTAGAAACCTAAGATTGAGTCACAGCTAATAACAGACATTACCAAGCGGTGGTGCGTAATACAACAATAAATACCACAATCTTGCAGCCTTCATTTATATATTCAGTCATTCAGGTTCATTGAGTTTTGCTCTATGGCTTTGCACCAAGTTCCACTAATGCCAAGCTTTACTGTGCAGACTTGTATTGTCCTTTTACCAATGTAAAGTTTGAGCATAAGGAGTAGTCTGTTTCTCTTGCTGCTAGCATCAAACTTTATCTCCTGTTGCTTTGGTGAGTTACATTTCTTGTCTTTTCTTTGTTGAATTTTGATGAAAATATGAAGCAGAAGATGAAGGGCAAATTGGGTCCATAATGTGAAAGGAAGAATAGACAAGGAATTATTTCTTGCTTCTAAAATAATTTTCACAATTTTTTATATTTTCTAGCAAGAACTTATTATGAGCAGGAGTGTAAAATACTTTGTTGTGCATAAGTTGGCAGATAATTCTATGGGGCAAATGAATTTAAATTGCTATTGAATTGATATTAAATGTATTTTCTTTTGTCTTATGGCTTTCCATTCATTATCTTTTCTCCACTTTGCAGGTGCACACAACCAGTTTGCCAAATTTGTGCTGTGCTGCATGAAATGTTGTTTTTGGTGTTTGGAAAGGTTCATTAAATTTCTTAATAGGAATGCATATATAATGGTGAGTTGGTTTTGTTAACTGAAATCTAATGCACCACATTTTAGAAGAATTTTCACTCTGATACCAATAGCATCACATGGGTCATGTTGTATATTTTCATTTTCTAGATTGCAATATATGGTAAAAATTTCTGCACATCTGCAAAGGAAGCCTTCTTTTTGCTGATGAGGAATGTTGTCAGGTGAGTGGTCATATATGTACCAAAGCCAGATATTAATTTTCTTATCAGATTATAAAACAGTACAAAAATAAGACAGAATCTCAGCCATCTGATATAATTAATAATTGAAATGAATGGATGTCCATGTTTCTACTGTACTGAATTGATCTAAGCAAGATTATTATTAATAATAATCCTGACATTTGGTATAGAGCCTTTCATTTTGGGAAGATCTCTCAAAGAGCTGTGCAGGATACACTGTACTGACAATTTGGACCAGCAATGTCGCACAAACAGCCATGATTTGAATGACCAATTTTATTCGGGGAATTGTTGGCAGCAACAGCTTGCATTATGTAGCACCCCTCACACAGGATAGCGTCCCAGAGCGCTTAATGGTGCAGAGCATGACTTCAGTAGGCTTGGTCGAAGAGGAAGGTCTTCAGGTGTGATCTGAAGATGGGAATAAAGGGGCAAGACAGAGTGATAGATCAAGAGTGTTCCAGAGTTTCGGGGAGTAGTGGCTTAAAGCACAGCCACTGATAGGGGAATGAAGGGCACAAGGGACATGCAGGAAGCCAGAGCCAGTCGAGTGGAGGCAAGATACCAAGAAAAGTCCCTTCGTTTTTTCAAATAATGTCAAATTATTCTTTTTTAAAATCTCTTAAACATGCATTCATTCTTGCTCAACAGAGTGGCAGTATTAGATAAAGTTACAGATTTTCTACTGTTCCTGGGGAAACTCCTGATTGTTGGAGGTGTAGGTGAGTAATCTCTTCCTTAAGACATTGACTTTTACTGAAGTATATTTCCAATATGGTAAAATCAAACATAGTTCAATATTTACAATCCCCGAGCAATATTTTTTTAAGATGTATTTATTTTCTACAGGTGTGCTTGCGTTTTTCTTCTTCACACGCAGAATAACTATAATTGCAGATGAGGCACCAGTGTTAAACTATTATTGGGTACCTTTGATGGTAAGGAATCTATTTGGATTTTTTTTTACATTGTATTTACAGGAGTGAACCATCACCAGTGAACCCGACAACTTACTTCATACACCATTTGTTAGAACTTATAATGCTATCACACATTTGCAAACTCTTAGATTCTAATTTTAATCATCCAAATTAATGTTAGTTTGTAAGAAATATCAGAAATATTTATTGTTGTTTTCCATTAAAACTTGGTTAACCTGAAAGACAAGCAAAATTAAATTAAAATAAAAACAGCAGTTCGCTCTCATATTCTGAGATAACTACAATCCACACTCTGCATGATGAGACAAGCATCAGATAACAGTCTGAGGATAGAATCGTAGAAAGGTTGAGTGATCAAAGATAGGAGAGCCATATTGAATAATGTGTAATTATCTAACTAAAGATGCACTTTTAAAAAATGTTCCCCATGACCACTGATTTGATTGAAATGCATGTGTCTTCTGTTTGCAGACTGTGATATTTGGATCGTATCTAATTGCACATGGTTTCTTCAGTGTCTACGCAATGTGTGTAGATACTTTATTCCTCTGTTTCTGTAAGTAAATAGTAAATATTTTAGTTTTCTTTAAAATGTATTAGCATCAAAATCTGTTTTATTTTTTAAACACTGGAGGAGGATGTGGGAGTCTAAGTGTATAATATATATTAAGTACATATATTTATATATTTACAGCAAATCCTTCCCTTTTTTATATATAAAATAGGATTTGCTGTGATCTAACCTCAGTCTACCCTTGCAATGATATTGAATTATACAGCGCTATAGGTACCCTAATCCAAAAATAATTTACATTAGGTATTTTCTATTATTTCAGTTTTGGCATTTAGAAAAGCTACAGCACAGTATTTATATTACTTGATAATAATACCCTCAGTCTAAAATGTTAATCATGCTAACTGAAGAGCTATCACATGAGGAAAACTGTGGCCCATTTTCTGATACCAGCAGGTGGTAAGCTTTGTTGAATGAAATTAGCTGAAATAGATACAATTACACAGTGATGTCCAGGGATACGTGCCAGACTGAATTTTAAACACAAAGTGGTGCAAATTCAGCTATTATTTTGTGTCAAAATTTAATTATTTTGAGGTTTAGAAGTGGCTAGAGATTGTTAAAATCAATGATGATCGTGACAATGGGACAAGATTCCCTTATGCACGCGTGATGCTTTGTTTTTATTTACATTTTCCAATGGCCTGAAAGTACCAAGTAGGCATCTGATATCACTGGGTAGATCCATTTCACCAGGATTTTTTAAAATCTTATTTTTAAGTATCTGCTCTCCTCCTCATCTATCAAAATATATATTATGCTGGGTCATTTCTTGGGATCTGACCATTTCTTTTTAACGCATCCATACTCTCTTTCAGTTGGTCGTCTAGGAGGATGGGAGTAGGTGCACAAACAGTCAACTACATGTGTAAATGTACTCATGTTCCTTGATCTAGGGAGACTTGCATAGCAACCTTCACTGTTCAAATTATTCTTTAGAAATATCCAAGTTTCTCAATGCCTGAATCTCATATACAATATGACCCATGTACTCATTCAGATTCAAAACCATTGCTTTGAGAAAACATTGTGAAGAAAATCTTCCCATCAACTTCAAATTAAAGTCTAAATAACATTATAAACACAATATTGTAGTTGCTGTAGTTTTAAGGCTATAAAACAAACTGTGGGGCATTGCATTTCAGTAGGCATTTCAGTATTGATTGCACAATAGCCATTTGTCTTAATCAACAACAATCTGCGTTATATCCCTTCGGGCAGGATAGTGTCCCAAAGTGCTTGTAAGGCAGTTAAAAGTATTGCAATGCAGTTCTTTTTTTACTAAAATCATCAATATTCATGTATCATAGAGCTTTCTATGAGTATGAATTCCAAACACTTTGAGCTCTATGGCTTTGCTGCACCTGTGCTGCACCTTTTAACTGAAAACTAAAGCTGCTATCTTACAAACATCTGATTAAGTTTTTATTTTGCATTGAAATCATTGAAACCTGAATACACTATAAATTGTTTCAGCACTTTTCTGATTGTTCACTGGCATACAATTATGCTGATTACACATTTGATACTTCTGTGCTTGAACTATATCTCCAGCTGTGAAATGTAATCTTTCAGCTTCACTAGATTCTGGCAGGCATTATGTTTTTTTTTCTTAAAAGGCTGGCAATATTTTTTCAAATGTGCTACCGAATCTTCTAACATATTTCTTGTGCTTCCTTTCATTCCTCTTTCCCTTCCATTGTAATTGTTTCGATGAGCACATCCCTTCCCTCTTGCTTTGGCTTCTTGCTGCCCTATCCAGGTGAAGATTTGGAAAGAAATGATGGTTCTGCAGCAAGGCCCTACTTCATGTCAGCTGAACTACACAGAATTCTGGGGAGGAAGGAACAAATTCCTAAGAAGGCAAATGGATAGCTGCTTACACTGCGCCAGCTGCACTTTCTGTCTTGCTTTTGTTGATTGTGTGAACATGGTAACATCTTTTAACAAAGTCACTAGTCAGTTGCTGAAAGTCAGTTACCTGACTATCACCATTTGTTTTGAAGTGTTATCTTCAAGGAAAATGTTGTAGAGTTCTAGTTTTGAAAAAAACATTAGCAAAAATAAAAGTTTTTCTTAAAAAAAAGATCAGCAATACGATGCTAGTGGCAATAAGGATGTACACAATGTAACCCTTCAAGATGTCACTTGTCATGCATTTCTATACATCAAGCTGCCTAGGAGAGATAGACTGATATCAGTTTATCATGCAGATAAATTGTTTTTTTTTCCTATTTTCCCCCGTAGTTTTTTTTCCCTATTTTACTCAGTGCCTATATTGATGCAGGTCAAGTGCTAGTATCTAAGGCAATTATAAAACTGGAAAATGTTACAAGAGGGTGAAACATTGCAGTGAGAACTCCAGTGGCCTTACAAAGGACCTATGTCCTTGACCTGTCTGATGCAGATGCAGTGTTGCTACACAAGTACCTAAAGCAAGTTCTGCACTATCAAGCTTTTTAATTGTCCTCTATGGTGGCAGTAAGTTCAAATACTGATACAAGACTGATATGCAATAAACACCAAAATAAACACCAATCTCTGAACTAGAATTTTACAGTTAAGGTGCCTAGAGTAAAGCAAGGATTGTACTACCCACATTGTAGTCTGTACGATATTAAGTCCAGATACATTGCATTGTGTTTCAGGTAGTAAAGTATGCCATTAAAATTCCTGCAGAATGTAAACTAAAGCCATTCATGATCAACGTGTCATTTACCCTATTTAGTTGATCAGTGGTACTAAAACAAACCTTTGTTATTAATTACGGAAATTAGTTCCTTTAATAGGAACATAGTGTAAGTTAATTTGAATATTTAATATAACATTCATTACTGTATATAATTTTCCACAAAGGTACAGGGCTATTCTTGTGCATTTTTACTAATTAGAATTGATACTTTTTATAAATATTAGAAAAAATGTCAAAGGAATTAAAAGTTAGCTTTGTTATTCCTTATTATGGCGTTTGTACAAAAGGTTACTGTACTAATGCTGTAATTATGGTGCTGCATATTTGACTATTTCACAGATATTCTAGATAAAATAGGCTTTGTGCTACCATGGTTTGTTGATATATCTTTTGAAGACATGCATGCTGTATTTTAGTTCATTTAAATTATATTAAACAAGATTTGATTGATGCAGGCCAGTTAAATCATGTGTGGATTTGCAGGATAACATTCACATAAATGCTGAAAGGAGCCAAAGCAGCTACTTCAGAACTGAAAGACGACATATTAGATATATTCAATCCAGATCATTCTTTCATAGAATGCAACCAAGATCAAGAAATCATGTACAAGTGAATTTTGCCCAAAACAATTTGTGTTTTTTTTTAAAAATCAAAACACATTTGAATTTATTAACTCAATGCAGATAATGCACCTGAGGGGTCTGAATATAGACCAAGCTCATCAGTGCAAAGGATCTAATATTGTTCAACAACGAATGCATTTAAAAACAAAATAAATAAATGCTGTTATATGCAAGATGTCAAAAATAGTTTTCTACAAAAACTTGAAAATTCTTTGCACTAATTTAGAAATAAGTGGCGATTATTTCAGGTTGTCACGGATCACAAAAGGGATCAACATTTTTTGATGCAAGGCATCAACAAAGCACAGTACGTCAAACATCAGTGAGAATATATAATTACTAAATGTGGATTAGAATAAAGACAGTCATGAACATTCACAAAGTAGAGAACCTTCATAAAATAAACAGCACAATGGTTGGGTGGCTATTCTGGACGGATCAAATGGGCCAAAGAGCATTCTTCATTTTGTTAGATCGTGAAAAAAGAAGCAAAGGTAGTGCTGTAGTATCCTATAGTCAGAGACAGTCTTCCTCTCTAGATTACATTGCAAATTTATGTTGTAATGTGTCTCTTCTGATTTTAGGGATTACAAACTTGAAAAGGCTGATCCAGCTTTTCAATTAAGCTCTGAGCTGGCCAGCAGGAGTCACATATTACAGGTTTTGAGCAGCTCAGCCATTTAGCTCTTTGGGTATGTGAGTGCATTTATTTTACTTCGCTCTCCTTCCCTGTAGGGATATGCTGAGCTCTAGTTGTGAACAGGATCTTAGACGGATGAGAGAACATTCAGCTGCCCATGCATTTTTTTATATATAAATAAAATCAAGCTTGATAACCGATGCAAGTACTTTTTGTGAAATAAAAGCTTAAAAGTTTTCTTTTAAAAAGAACCTTATAAAGGTGAATGATTTTGATTTAATTCATTCAAGTATTTATGAGATATGACCTGATGGTTTGATGAGAAGAAATTGTTGTATGAATTTATTTTAAATCAATTCAATTTATGTATACTTAAAGGGATATGAATATAATATCCACAAGGTGGGATGTGGGAAACTGAGCACTCCAAAAATCAACCCAAAATCATCATCACAACAATTAAATGATTCGTGGTCAATGATTTATACATACAATGAGACCTGGGCTGAAATGAATTCCAATATCACACATCATTTAATAGGAGACTGAGTATTTTCTATGCCCTTATGACATCTCAGTTTTGCTCCTCGTTTATTTGCACACAGTGAGGCATTTGAGGAGCACATTTTCATCAGCACATTTTATATAGACATTAATATTTTCTATTTATTCTACTTGGATTATTTGCTGCTGTGAATTAAAATCAGAAGGGGACATACACTGGTTTCAATATAAAAACAATTGTCAGCATTTAACGTACAAATTTGGAAATTAAGTTGGTGCCTGTATCTTTGTTTATGGAATTAGAGCCTAAAATAGAACATCTAGTTTCCAGGAACAAAAAAGACCAGGCTTTTTATATAAGTTTTTTGTCCTAAACAGATTCAACGAATGATATTAATTTTGGAGATCGATAACAAAATATGGGTCATTTATCACCCAATATATCTATAATATATCGTGGAGTCCTGTAGCTCAGTGGTTAGAGCGCTTGCTTTGCAAGTTCAATTCCAGGCAGGGCGAAACCTTGGGCAAGTTTCCTTACTCCACACGCCTAATAATAATCCCTCCAAAACTAAAAACAATAATTAAATTGGTCATTTTCAATCTACGACTGTTTGTGGGACATTGCTGTGCGCAATTGGCTGCCGTGTTCGCCCACAAACATACAGTCAATTCACTTTACAGTGTGTTCTGTGAAGCGCTTTGGGACGGCCTCCCGACGTGAAAAGCGCTATATCAAATGCAAGGATTATTATTATTATAATAATTGCTGTATGATCACCAAGAACACAAGTTTGATACTCAATGATCCTCAGAATATCAGAATGTTGCAAAATACAGCCAAGCTAATTTAATAAGTCACTGATCATCAACTTAAAATATTTGACCCAGCTATTTAACTTGCTTTTGATCCCTGTAATCATTTGCAATTCCTCTTCATAGTGGAAGATTTAGAGAGAAATGATGGCTCACCAGAGAAGCCCTATTTCATGAGTAAGTTATTGAGGAAGATTCTGAACAAGAAGAATAAAGTCAAGGAGGAATGAAGAATATGGTGCAAACTACGTCATTCCTCAGCTTGTTTGCATAAATATTAGGTTGTCCATATCGGAATTTAAAAAGTCAAGCAAATCCGAACAATATTTCGTGACCATGCTTTGTTAAAATCGACATGGTTAGAGAATTTGGAAGCCTAGTGATAAGTGGCTACAAAAACAGGAAGATGTGTGAATATGTAAATGTACACTAAGTATTCCATTGTAGATAGGTCAATAGAAAGGTACTTTTATTTCAAGCTTTCAACAAACTAATGGTAAATCCCAAAGGCAACAAATTGACAACATTCCAGCTAAGGAAGAACAGAAAATACCATTGAAAATAATATTCTATTGGAAATAATGCCCGCAGTATTTAAATGCCTACATCAACATCAAAAAATCACCCAAAGCAGAGCTATTCCTTTATAAAACCTATTTACCATTGCTGATTTTATTTCAGCCAATATATTAACATCAATTTGATATTTCAAAATATTATTTCTGGCTGATAATCAGTTCAAGTGCCTTCTCTTCAGTGTTGGTCATGAGTCCAGAATGGTGGGATACTATATTACTAGTGACTGACAGAATCTCCCAGACTGAAAATAACACAACTTTGTGCTAAAAGTAGCAAAGGCATTTTGAAATGATTCCCTTTGGGTAGAAAAACTGAGATGACTTGAGATAAAAGTGTTTTAGAACAATGCAGATTTCCCTAAATTCCTGTTAAGAGCAAGTTAATTCTTAAATCTATATTCTCAGATGATCACATGTTCATGGGTAATAAACTGACAGTGGGCAATTCTTTTAAGTTAGGTGTATAAATAATAATACTTAATGTAACATTTAATTCAGTGACAATTACAAAAAACCTTTTAGTAATAACCATATATACTACTAAAAACATTTTCAGACTGATTTACTTTCTTATTTTACATCAATGGTTTGCATTGAGAATATTTTTAAGCTTCCAGTGTAAATTATTTATTTAAACACTATCAAAACTGGTTCAAAACATTCCGAGCTAGTCAGTGGTTTTTACGCTGACTGTACTGTAAAAGTTGTCAGTAATTACTGGTTTGGTGACATAACATGTGTTATGTTCTATGATAATCGTGCCTAATGTTATAATAAGAATTCCTTTTTAAAACCTTTTAATCATGTACACATATTGTTGAGGCTCAGTATGCTAATTACATTGCTGTGCTGTTGTGGCTCCAAATTATTCCAGCAAGTAGCTGGAAACAGCTTCACACAAAAGAACAAACCAAATGTGCAGACTATTTGAGGCTAACTGCAACTGACTACATGTCCAAAGCATACAAGAACACCACAGTACAACCACCAAAAGAACAACTCATATGCATTGCAGAGCCAGTTCTGGCCATGGAAATAAAACAAAGAATCCTTAAATGAACATTACTTTCCATTAGACTTATTCCAATATACAAAGTAGCATCTTTGTAAATCAGATGTGCAGTAAATGCCAAATACATACAGCATTTTTTTTATAAGGCAAAGGCTCATTACAAATATTCAATTGGAAGCTCAAATATTCCTGCAAGAACAAACATCAAGAACCCATTATTTTTAATAATATAAAAAATATATGTAGCAATGGCAATTGAGTAAAGCATTTTTACCCAAAATATCCCAGACAAAAATATTCTCGCTCTTTCTCTACCCCAATCATTGAATAAATTAGAATGACAAAAGAAAGCTCGATAGGAAAAGAAGCTTGCTCTTAACCAGGAACTTAGTCTCATAGAAATAAATGAGAAAAATTAATTGTGTTGGGAACAAATTTATTAAGCAGAATTTGTTTTTATTACACATAATAGCCTGTATATCTTAAATGTACCATTTGCACAACTACACACACTGATAAATTACTTAACATTTCAAAATTATTCTAAGAGTAAAAGATATTATATTACATACAGTGATCAGGGCTGATGCATCAGTTCATACTGTGTTTCTTTGCAGCAACTGTACCTGGTAAAATACTGAATAGTTATCTTGGTATTTCTTCAATACTGCAAGGAAACATTGGTTAAATTTTATTAGTCTTTTCTAAAACAGACATGCAAAATATTGTTTATATAGCTTTTTTTTAAAGCTGTTGTATTATTGGGAGCCAGCGGTTAATACTGAATATAAATTCAAAATTTCCTTAATGAACAATTGTGTACCAGCTAGATCTGGATTTCAGTGCATATGAATCAAATTCATGTTTGCATGTCTCATTTATAAAGTGTTATTTTACAAATATTTTATGTATTTATTAACATGCCATTTATTTCTATTACACCAAAAGATAATTTGCATGAAAAGTGAAGCTACATCTAATCTGTGCTTCTGCTGTGCAGAAATCTGACTGATAGTGCCATAATTTTTTGGTAAATAACTTAAATGTTTGTTATTTCAGGCAATGTATTGTCCCTCAATGCTTTGCAATGATAAAGACTCTATGGTACTGGGTTTTATTCAACATTAATATGACATTGAAATATTACATTTAATAAACTTTTAGGTAATAAATAATGTGATCACCTCATTGTGTTCAATTAACTGCTAATGGTATGAATAATTCAATTCTTCAGACACACAACCCAAATTCTCATTTGGTATTAAAACTATTAGAATCATTCCTTGGTGTCTCTTGTCATAAGTCTATTACTATATCAGAAATGGCTATTCATTGCACATTAATGGCAGAATTCTTTGAATGTAGCAATAAGGGATAATAGTAAAGACAGGATGACAATTTGTTGAATATCATCCATAGAGTGTTTAAGCCAAATCAATTGGAGTGCCACCGTGATAAATTAATACCTCACTTCACTCATCTGCACATAATGCTTTCATCAAATATTAGAAATTGGACAGGGAATCGAAATCTTGCCGACATGCAAAGTAATCCTTTCTTCCAAGATTACAAAGATGTTCTATCAAAAACATGAATTAAAAGAATCTCTTGCTGAAGCTGTCATTTCTCGTTCTTAGCTTATGAATCATACATTGCCTGCTGCACAGCCTCTCCAGCTTAGACGATCCCCATTATGCTGCTGCAGTGGACAGGGGATGCCATTTAAGTTGAAGAAGCAATGCAGTTGACAAAGTAGACTTCTGTGTAATGTTGAGTGATAGCTGGAATTACTTAGATAAGCTAGAGCTCTTCAGCCTAGGAATATCTAAGAGTGGACCTTACCGGTGAGTACACAATACTTAAAAAGGAGATACACAGAAACAAGAGTTCAAGGTTTTTAAGTGTCATTTTAGGACACCAGAATTTTTTTTTGACACAAAGCAATTAATATCCTGAATGGGTAACTGGAAAGGACACCTTTGGTCTGTACAATGAAACCATTTAAAGAACAGGAAGATGGTGAGTATCCTGGAAAGATATCAAAATGGACAAAACAATCTTCAAAAAGCCTCTGAATTATTCCAAAAGAATGACTAACTTTGCAAACAACGTGTGCCAATCTCAGATCATTCAAGTTTTACAAGAGTCAATTCTTGAGAATTATGATTTGGTATACCATGGAGTCACTAACAATTCAATTAAAACTGGAATACAAAGAATATTCTAGGATATTTAAATAAGATTCATTAGGGCATTCTCATTAATGGAAGTTATCATTTCATTCCACAATGAATGTTTCATTCGCACAAAATGTGTTTTACGTGAAAGTGTGGGATGATATTTTAGTGAGACCCTTTGAGATAGCAGTTCAGATTATTTTTTGCTGCTTCAGATATATTAGCATTAAACTAATCATATTAAAACACTTTTTAATGCAGGAAAGTTGGTTTAACAGTTGTCTGGGTCCAACAACTTAGAGGCTGTATTAAAATGGAGTTAAAAAATGCCAATTTCCAGGTTGCCAGATGACCTCCAGTGTCACTTCTTATGTGTCAAGCATTCACAAATGCCACATTATTTCCTCTGCGAAGGGAAATCTGCTGTATTTCCCTGTATGATCAGGTTCTGAACATTGAGTGGAGTGGTTACAACAAATTGCATTTATATAGTGCCCTTCACATTAAGAGGATGTCCCAAGGCACTCGACCTGTGCAGTGAAGTGTTTACATTCAAGCTGTGGGTTGGATTCAGGAAGGGTTGAATGTGGTGGGAGGTGGGGAGAAACATGGCTGAAGCAGAGTCAAACAGGTCAGACAGACCGTGATTGAGGTGAGGGAAGAGATTCTGGGTTGGAGTTCCAGAGAATGGGGCATGTAGCTGCCTACCATTGATGGTGGGAAATGTGAAGTAGGCCAGTGCCTGCCAAGCAGAGCGAGTGGGTGGGTGGGGTTTAAGAGGGTCACAGAGTGGGGGCAAGGACGCAAATCCAGCAGATAGATCAACGAGATCTTCTTAAAAAAAACTAATTAAATGTCTTCATTCTTTCATGAGGTAATCCAACAAGGCTTGATAAATCAGCAATAATCCAACTCTATAAACATCAGTAGCAAACATTTATTTTGTGTAGTTCAGAATGCAACAATGACAAAATACTGAACTTGTTAATAGGACTTCACAAATGTAACAATTCCTGAAAGAATCATTAACTAACACTAGGATATGGTTTGCAACAAACTTATTCAAGGTTTAGGTTAACACATTTCATTGAAAATAACTTACAAATATATCAAAACTAGTGTAACATTTATACTACAGAGATTGTAAACATTTTGCACATTGCAACCGAAAGATCAAAGTGCTCTGCTGATGTCAATAAATAGGAAAATTAGAGGGAAAACAAAGTTTATCTGCAGCAACAGTACTGCGCATTAATAAGTAAACTAAATGCAGTAGATTAATGCACTTTGCATTCATCTTCAACCTGAATACAACAAAATGAATTGCTGATGTGAAAAAAATCAAGCATGGCCAATGGGAAGTTGTGTCATTGCACGAGATACAATTGGTTGGAGTGCCAGGGATGTTGGTGAATGAGCTGTTAATAGGACAAGGAAGGTAGAGATTAGATCACTATTCACAAAATAAATCAAATTCCTAGATTGCATTATGTAAATCATAGCACAATTCAGTTACTCATTTTAAAAGTTATAGTTCAGTTCAATTAGAGTTATGTTATACCAATGCAGATTTTAAGGTAAGTACTTTTTTCCAAAGTTGCTCCAACTTTCAAAGTGTATTCGGCTCCACAATGGCTCAGCACAAGTCACATCATATAGGCAAATAGAGTTCCAGTCTGTGCTGAGTGAGCTGATCTCAGCCAGTGTGGCACTAGGGGGCACACAATTAGCTTCAGTGCCCTGGTTAGGGAGGAGAGAAAATCAAAACTGAATTTCCAAAATGCAGTTCACTGATCTGTACAAGTGAGTATTCAATAATGGCAATATTTGAACTCGAGTGAAATGCTGTACAGACATTCACTACTAAGACTCATACATGACTTGTCTTTTGATCAAGGCACAGGAGGACATCTGGGGAACCATTTCCCAGCAGAAGGTTGATAGAGCCCAACACTTTCAGGAAAGGTGAAAAACTTTTTAATTTAATTTAAAAAAAAGGCAAGGTAGGAAAATAATCTATACTGAAAATAATTGAATAAATACAAGTAAAAATGCAAAAGACAAAAGGATAGCAGAATTGAAGAGTTTTGAAGTTCAAGTGTTTTTTATATAATATAAAGTCACACAGCCCAGGAGACTGGAATGTCACTATTCTAACTGGAATACAATGACTATTTCTGGAATTACTCCTTTGACTTAAAGGGTTTCAATTCTGTACTATTTTTCATCTAACTTTATACATTGACATGAAAGCAAGTTTCTGGAGGAATGCGCATTGTTGTGGCTCAGAAGATTGCCCAATTTTCTCCAAGACCCAGCTTCATACACCAAATAGAATCACTCCTGGCTACGAGTTATGTTGGGACAATTGCAACTCAGCTTCAAATTGATACATATCCAGTGTCCAGAATTCAATATTGAATTAACTGTCTCCAAAGAAGACTGAAGGATGATAGGTGGGAGGAAAACATTGGTGTTGCATGGTTAGAATTAGGGAACTTTGGGGGCATTAAAAAAAAACTTCACCCATTACCTTAAAAGAATTTTGGACATTTGTTGCTACAAATTGATGCGAACATAGAAAACCATTCCATTACTACATTATTGTAACTTTGATCATATAAATAAAAGTCCAGCTTAAATAATACACTTTAACATTTTCCTGAAAAGCTTCCAACAAGAAAACACATTCCACTTGTACAAACACATTTCTAAGAAAACAGCGCCAAGTCCCTTACATACAGACTTTATGAACTTACATTCCATGTACGTGTGTAAGGCAGTCAACATTGGTCCATCTGGCGCTACATATGCTGAATAGGTCATTTCCTCTAGCATGGGTGGGGAAAGTCGAGCCTGCTGCACAGTCATGGTAGTAGATGAATGATTGGGGCTGACGTGTTTCTTATGACGTGCTCTACAGTTCTGAAACCAAACCTGTAAACATTTTTCGAATTTAATGCATGCAAAGCTGTACTCCAATGCAATTATATCATACCATTTTCAGGACTTAGTGTTACGTCTCTTACATCAATGGCAAAATCAGTTTAATATAGTGCAATAAAATTTAGATAAATATGTTCAAAGGTAAAATCTGAAGCACGCTGCTATCACATTGAATTTTATGAGATGCAGAAAGCAAGATTAACATCTGAAGAGTCTTATTAAGAACAAGAACATTACGAGTTCAAGCTGAAAATCAGAGCAAATATAACTTATATATTTGAACATGGAACTTGCCTCTCTCAATCTCCTTTCCTGAAAGTAGTGACTGATGTGGGATAGAATTCAAAGTTTGGCCCCCATCAGGCAAACTCCCAATGTTAAAGATTGTACATGATCATAAAAGCATCTCAATAGATTCTGATCTTTAACAACCATTTGCATTTTCATAATGCCCTACACACAGGATAGCATCTGCACAATGAGGGGGTTGGACACCGAGTGAAGGAGATGGGGGAGGGGAAGGATCTTGTCCTCAACATCCACTTTTCAAATATCATTGGGTTGGAAGTGATATTTCTGATTTTCTTTTCACTCCCTACCTCAAGGTCTAAGAGGCAAATTATTTTGGCACTGTTTACCCTCTTCAGCTGAAATCACACATACTGAATGCTAAAAGTCCACATGGTTATCAGCCATTCAAGAACCTCTATTAATATTTAAAATAGACACATTAAGAATTTATGAAGCTTGAATTATCCATTAAATCATAAAGAGCAAATGTGAGTAGTAAGGAAAAGTACTATTCAAATACATTAAGCAGGTTTGACAGATAATACTGCATACAACCAAACATTAGCTAGCTTGAAAGTTAACATTACCTGAACACATCTTCATTCAAACTTAAGTATCATGTTGTGCATTAAATACACAAGCTTCAAATCCTATTCTGGAAGATGTTACTAAGCTAAAGCAATACAAACATTCTCTTTACCATTTCTATGGGCCATAGCCTGCAAAGAGCAATGGTGTTTTTTTTAAAAAAAAGACTCGGTACTTGAGTCAGCATTAAAAAACGTGCGCAAAACAAACTGGTAACAACTCTCCAGTTTGGGGTAAGGAGACTGCCACTATAATATGGGAGCGATTAGAAGCTCAAAGTGAAGAACTCATATGCACAGATCTTTTTACAAATTAAGCATTTACATTGATTGACAAGTCTCAAATTTGAAATACTGGAACACGGCATCATCAATAGTGTAGTGCAGTCCCATGTTTCCAACAGATCATAATATGTTGCTGTCAGTTTAATATCCTCTGAGTCATCTGGCCAACTTTTTCCTTCCAAAGCAGAACTAGCCGAGACACTTATCCAGTTTAAAAACAATCAATGGGTGCATGTGTTACATGGCCAACACAAGTTCAGTGTTTATCACTTGTTAACTCAGATTATGGAAGCATTGGTGGCCTGTTGACACTTTGTATAATTTCTATTCACAGTATAAAATTTTAGATATTCATGTACTCTAAGTAACCAATAACAGCAAATTACATTTGTATAGTGCCTTTCATGTCAGGAGGACATCCCAAGGCACTGGACAGTTAGGGATCCTCACCTGAGCTGGGGGTTGGGATCAGGGAGGGTGGAAGGCAGGGAGGGTAGGGGTAGGAGGATGACCGAAGGAATGGTCGAAGAGGAGGGTCTTCAGATGGGTTTTGAAGGAGGCAGGAAGGGGGGGGGGGGGGGGGGGGGGGGTAGAGAGCCAGAGGGACTATGGGATTGAGTTCCACAGGGTGAGGGCAGAGATGCGGAAGGTCTGCCCACCAATGGCAGGCTGGGTGAGGCAGGGGACGTGAAGCAGGCCCCAACCAGCACCAACTTAATTCAACAGTCCTGAGAAAAACCCTCTCATTGGCTTTGTTGTAGTATTTTATAATCAGTCAGCAAAACTGGATTCATTTAGGAACAATATCAGACAAATGTGGAGCAAAGTAAAAACCAAAACATCAATAAAACAGCATCTTCCAAACACAATACAACACATAAGGGGATTTGCAACAAGTACACAAGCTTCAAATTACCATCAATAATGTATCAAGTTAACTAAAATATCATGTCACAGTGGACAAGCAGTTGAAATGAATGACACAATTATAAATATTTGGTTCCCAAACCATGAAATTCTAGAACATAAACAAAATTGACATTTTGACCATAACTGCTTAATGGAAATTGTAGAAAGTAGATTTGTGTCAATGCAATGAGCTCAGAAAAAAAATACTATTGGAAAGGTTTCAAGTCATCCGAGGATTCAAATGAGTTCATAGGGCTACAAAATGGAAATGCTGAGAGAAACACACACCACAAGTAATTGTGTTACAGCCTGACCTGAACACCGTCTCAAACTTTCCTTTTTGAATACTAGTACATGTCACAAGTTTAAACTACTATTAATGCTTTCTTTCCAATAATTTGGACAATGCAATCACTATTGGCTGCCAAATTTGGAATATTCTGATTTTAAATCAGTAATAACAAAATACTCACTAGGTCACAATAGCATTGAACCCAATGGTTTAAACATGGCAACATTTGTATTCAAGATGAAGTACCAGGAAAGTACCTGTAATAGTGTACAGTTTTTCTTAAGGGGTGGGTGGGAAGATTAAAAAAAACCAAGCTATTTCCCGACCCCTGCTACTAGTCTTTTGAGGCAGGCACTCGGATTTGAAGGCCACTCATAAGTTTCGTACAACATTTCTATTAAAGCTCAAAAACTCAATACCAGTATTTTACACAAAATCCAACTGATCATTTAAGGGTGTAAATTGTTTTACCTGTATGACACGTCTGCTTAGTCCAGTTCTATCTGCAAGTTTTTGCAGAGTTTGGGCATCTGGATTGTTGTCTTGTGCAAACTGTGCTTGCATAATCTGCAAAAGTATCAAAGGTTTTATTAATAAACTTCCTAGATGATTGTTAAACTCCTATGTTCTTTTCAAATTACATATAGATATTTTGGAAAATGTACAAGATGCTCATGCCACAGGTTGGCAAGATTGCAAAGTAAATTCACACTGTTTGGCACCCACTCTAACTACACCTCCTGTTCAAAATAAAAACCTCAACAGCAACAAAATGACATTTATAGAGCGCCATTCACATCGGGAGGACGTCCCAAAGTGCTGAACAGTCAGAAGTCGAGGCCCGAGCAAGGAGGAGGGGTGGTGTAGGGGGGAGAGAAGGCAGAGAGGTGGGAGGGAGACCAAAGGCACGGTCGAAGAGAACAGTCTTGAGACTAGCCTTGAAGGAGGTAAGGGAGCAAGCGATGCGAAGGGACCGCGGGATGGAGTTCCAGAGTGTGGGGGCAGAGAGGCCACCAATGTGTGCGAATATTTCCATTTGCCATACCAGCCATTGAATACTTTTGGCCAATGAATATTTCCCTGGTACATGATCTCTACTTAAAGTGTACTGCTTACAAGGAAATAACATTCACTTTATAAAAACACAAATCTTGTCAAACGCTAGCTCAAGTATTTCAAGTATAAAAAAAGCTCACCCAAAAATTGAAATGAAAACCATCTTAAAAAAAAATTTGCAAACTCGGAGGCTGATTTAACAAAAAGAAAAAAAAAGTTGAACGAAGTTGTGAATGGGAAGCATTTTACCTGAAGCTGTTCTGCTGTGAAACTTGTACGTGCTCTTTTCGTTGGCTTGGGTTGGTTTACATCTTGTTCAGTTGGCAATGCTCCTTCCATACTGATTCCACTCCCTGCGATTGAATTACACAAACTAAGAGAATAGCTTTCATCCCAGTGATTAAGTTATGTAAATAGCTTTTTTTGAAAAAAAATCAATGGTCATTTTCAGGAATGCCGCAACACTACAGCCTGAAAGGAGTTTCAATATTTTTTTAATACTACTTTTCAGAGTTTCGGTATTACAAGTACTTTCCACTACACTTGCATGCAAACTGAACTCTTACAGCCAATACCCTAATGGATGCATTTTGAACGGCTCCTGCAACGTATGGAGGCATCAGCATTAGTCCAAACTCAAATCAGAAATCAAAAGTAGATTTAAAATAAATGTAAATGTCGCCAAGTTGCAGATGTCCAGATACGATTTCGCCACCAACATACAAACATAAATATTAAAAAAAAACTGAGATCCTTAGAAAACAAAAAAAAAGCTCAGGTCTGGGTTGCCTGAATTAATTAAGTATATGTTTGCCCTTTGGTTGAAATAGTCAAAAGGACTGACTATTTGGAACACGAATTCAAGTCGTCGTCCATTGAAAGTTCAAACCTTCAACCACAACAACAACAAAAAAAACCTCTCGGTATCTTTTTTAAAGTTTCGTTTCCCAGAAGAAGAAGAGGAAGAATAAAAAACACGCGTAACGATCGCAGGTTCTGGGAATGGATGAAATTATTACCGTTTTCCGACGCCCTTTTTAGGTTTTCTAACATACAGTCGTAGTGTATTCGACAGAGGACCTTTTCTTCCACCAAAGCGAACTCCTCGCCTGTCGAGAGCTGTCTCTTGCAGGAGAAGCAGGCGAAGCAAGCCAAGTGATACACATTGCCCTTAGCCCTGCGGACCCAGTCTGTGGAGTGGATGTGGCGGCCACAGCGAGAGCACCGGGTACCGTACCGCCTGCAAAACACAACCACACCAAACGCAACCCTGTGCTATCGAGAGAAAAGCCTCCGGGGTGGAGGGGGGGTCGGTCGTCTTTCGCACCCAACACAGAGGAGCTCAGATATGCAGTCAGAGACCGCAGCAACAACAACAAGAAGAAAAACAACCGCAAAAAAAAACCCCAACAACAACAACCACGCAAGCGCTTGGGCAAGAACGCGATAAGTTTGCAGGCAAAGCCAGTGACACATTCTCTCCTGATTTGGGTCGGAATTTCGTACATTACAATTTGCCTGTATTGTATTCCCCCCCACACACACACACACCGCCCTTTACAAAAGCTACTGCCACAACAGTGGGCGGGTGGATGGGGTGGAAAGAGAAAAATTACGTGAGAAATCCTAATGCTGCAGTCCTTTTTTTTCCTGGAAGGTACAGTTCCGATTGCCAGTTGTTTGGGAGGACGCTGACACATCGATGCCTCTTTGCTCCCATTGCCAATACCTCATGCACTTTGCACTTTCCAGAATAGAAAGTGAAGAGAAGATCACTTGATGGCATCGATATTTTGAACTCGCTGCCTTCCCAAACTTGCAATAACCCATCTAAAGCCCAATGGGTCCCCAGTGAATTCAGGTTCCTTGTGTTGAATAGCGTCGTTTGCAGATGATATATCCTGGTTAATGTTGTGTGCGTGCTTGACGTTAAAAGGTTGTTTTTTTTGACGTAAGTTGATTGAAAAGGTTTGAGTGGTACCGATTTAGTCGGTGGTAAATTGGAGCTCCACAAATTGTTGCTTCGAATCCCAACATCAGAAAAGTTCATCATATACTCGTTTCCCAACAGATACCTCAAATACCTATAGGCCGGTCATGATCATCAATTCAGCCTCTACAACTTGAAGGACTACTTTACGTTTCGCTGGTTCCATTGATTTAACACATTTTTACATTCACAAAATAATTTGAAATCGTTTTCCTCTTTTTGTTTATATATATATATATATATATATATATATATAAAAAAGCAGAGACCCTAAAGTGAATACATTTAGTAGCATTCATCTATTAAAAGTTGGGATTCCGAAATGAAACGAGCACTTTTTTTTTCTTGGTTCGTGTTTAGTTTTGATCAGGTTATTGGGCAGTACATAGACAACAGTCGATCAACAAGAGTAAAGCTCCGGCGCAGACTCTGGCCAACAAGCGCTAAGAAGTTTAAAATGATCCTTTCCATTTATAAGTTTGAAATAAGAGCATTACCTGAAATAATCAAATTTGCAAAATATTTCTTGGTCCTTGATGTAGCAACTGCTGTCCTTGCCTAATGAGGTCCTGCAAACACTGCAGGCCAGACAGCGGACGTGCCAGCACAAACCGTTTACCTACACAGGTCAAAAAAATATATATATACATTAGCCATTCAACCCCAACACAAAGCATAGCAGACAGGTGAACAACACAGCTACAGCAGCAACACAGGGGCAGCCCAGAGAACATAAAGCCATTCAAACATCACAGCCCCAGACTTTAGGCAAGCAACACTTGTAGGTTGGAATAAACAACTGGCAGTGTAATCACTGCAGAAATGATTAGGCCATCTTAATGTACACACTCGAACTGCACCGGTTATATCTCAGGCAAAGGGCGCAGTTCAGTTTACAAAGATGGGGGGGGGGATTCTTATAAAAAACCGAGTGCTTCTAGTCGGGTTAACACGCCAACAAATCACATTATTATGTGTCTGAAAGTTGTTACAAGGCATGTAATTTGGCTACTGCTGCACTCAAAAGAAATCCGGATCATAACCCCGGCCCCATCATCCTGCTCCAGTACACTGAAGTTTGCAGGATTAGCTCGAACTTTCTACGTTTAATAAACATTTTGTAAGGGAAGGGGTGGGAGGGGGGGAAAGAGGAAAAGGATCCGAGTTAATTAGAACCGATTTTAAATATGGGCTAAAGGTTAAAGTACACTGATCATTTTCATGTAGTGTTGAACCTTAAAGACAACTATAGAAAAGCAATCAATCAAAAAGAGCACGAAACAGTGGGAGTCACGCACACAATCAAAGCCTGTGGTTTAGGAATGACCCGACAGACAATAAAACACTTCACTGTACACATAGTTGAAATGAAGACTCAATTTAAGTTGCCTTTTAGATGCAGCAAAGCTTTACAGCGTACGCGACCACGTTTGCAACTGAAACTTTTGCCAGTTTAGACATTTGGTCTCATATTTCTGGCGACGCAAAAACAATAAATAATACAATGCTTTTTGCCCTTCAAAGAATTCCCACGTGAGATCATAATTCTTTAAAATAGAAATAAACAGGTTCGACCTGCTATGCGATTGCACGCCAAGGAATACATATATATATATATCAAACGTCTGAGGCTGACAGTTGTGAAAATGCATTTCTCGAGTTCAACCACAGTCATTTTTTTTTAATTTCATAGGAGGCAACAATATATTTCTCACCTTGAGGAGGTATCGGTCCACGATTTCCAAGGCACAGCTGCTACAGATGTTTTTCTCGGTCCCTGAAGATGCCATGGATTGCGGAGACGAGGACGGGGAGGCTGGTGTGACTGGGGAGCAGGACTTTTCTTTGAAAACTTTCTCGGGATTAATCTGAGTCAGAAACGAAAGGTTAACACGCGCGCACAAACCCCTGCAAACCCCGAGCGAGACATTGAACGAAGCGTTACTTGTACCGAACTGGAAGCGACCCTGGGGGGTGTTTTGCTTCCTCCAAAAGGCACCGAGTCTTCACAATCTTCAGACATGACATTCAACTGGAAGAAAAATACAGTTTCGACAGATTCCGCACAAGGCCCCACTGGGTTCTGAATTGCTCCCTTGTGGCAGTCTTTTTAAACAAACATCCACAAACCAGTGAATAATTTTGACCACTTGCTCGTTCGCTATGACAACGCTTATGATTATTAAGATGCAATTTGGAAAGTAAATACCCTGGACTCCGTTTACAAAAAACAAAGGGCCACTTGACATGATAGTTAACTCCCATTATAACAGTGCTGGTTGCATTTTGCCAACCGCTACATAGAGAACTTGCTCTCTCGCTCTTCCCCGGTTTCACAAAGCTTTTTCATCTGCACATATCAATTGCTAACGCCAATCAAAATCAGGTTGGAGTCGGTGGGAGAGGGGAAATTGATTTTGTAGTAACAATTAAAACAACCCTTTGCCCCCCCCCCCACCCCTCCCCTCCAAACGCCTTTCACAGGGCAACCTGGAGGTGAAGAGGTTTAATGGGGGGCACTTGAAAGATAATTATAGCCGATTCGCTGTGCGAAATGTTTGTTCGATTGGCAATTTAGAGAAACAGAACAATTACTGGTGCAGGTGATTCGCGTTGACAAACGACCACTTAATACATCGTTCTGGCCAAATCCTCCCCTAATTAAAGGTCAGAAAATCGAAAGAGTTTTTTTTATAAATAGAAAAAAAAGACACACACACACTCACACACGTGTTTACTGATGATGCCGGTGCTAATTTCCAGCATTTTGACAAATATCTATTCGAGGCAATTTTATATTATCGTTGAAGGTTTCTACAGTCGCAATAAAAGGGCACAGTGATGATGATCGTTACTTTGTTCAAGTTCCATAATCCATGTGATTTGTATTGAAGTGCTAAGTATTTAAGTACATCTCCAACGTTATGTCAGTGTGTAGAGACAAAAACTGCAGTTTTTGCTAATCCTCATTTCAGGACGTAGCATCAGCAGCTGTGCCAACACACAGCCTCTTTAATAACCAGCTCCGAGGAATATGCTCTCAACACACGTTAAAAGCAATTTTTTAAAAAAAACACACACACACAAGTCCAATATATTCACCAAAATTAACCCCCGCCTCCCCATCATCCCTGTACATTTTAATATACTTTTATATTGAAGTGGAAATTCGAATCGCCCGCTCGCTCGCCGATGGCCAGAGTTAAGACCGCAAATGTGACACGATGTCAAAGCCTTTTGGAGCTGCCTTTCGCTCCTGTTGCAGGCAATCGCCCCACGGTCAATGCCCTCGTGCTTATCCTCGCCATCGTCTCGCTTTGTGTATTACGGACTGAGAGCCTCTGAGAAGAGTGAATCCACACGCGAGAAATCCCTCGACTTAAAACCGAACAGAAGTCCGTCTGCAAAAGCAATCACCGATGCCATAGAGTGGGATCTGCTTTGCGATTCGACAATGCGTTAAAGCCGATTTTTGTACCGTCTAATAAAAGTGTCGACATGTTGTGAGGAACCCCCACCCCTTCCTTTTACTGCGGCAGCAGAACATACTTGTGACATGTTAAACCCACCATGTACCATTCTTACCTTGTCCAAAGCCTCGCTACCCGTGTAGTTTTCTTTCCCTTCCATTCGACAGACAAACAGTTCAGTGCTCTTCCAGTACATTGCAATCAAAACTCGTATTCCAGTCACAGAAGGTTTAAGTGGAATTTTTCACGACTCTCTTTTTTTTTGGCCTTTAGTCCAAAGCACCGCTTTCGTTTCTCTACGATTCGAACTGAACTGTTGCCTGGTCTTGTTAAAAAGTTACCTTTTCAAGTGGGTGGAACTTTCCCAAACTTTTCTTCCCCCCCCCCCCCCACTTCAACTTCCTGACCGCACCTTCCCACACAAAACACGCATTGGGCATGCAGGAATTTTATTCATACATGTCTGCAAAAATAGTTTTGGGTATTGTTTTGTCCAACCAGCAGTAGGCACACTCTCACTGGTAGCATATCTATCATCAGTTACATGACTTTACTGAAAACTAAACAAAGATTCAGGTTACATCTCTACAGCTTTCAGAAGGAAAGAAAGGAAAATAAAAACATTTAGTCACTGCACGCCATTTTCTCCCCCGCACAAACACTCCACATCCTCTTGTTTTCCAAAAAGCGACACACACAGCAATACGCTTGTGTGCAAAATAACATAAGACTGTGCGGAGTCCATTGAACGCCCACAGAGACACTGCTTCACTAACAGCTCATGCCATCTGAGTCACATTAACACTATTTCAGAGCTGGCAGCTGCAGATGATGCCCACGAAGTACCAAGATAAGCTATTGAAAACACAGCTATTGAAAACCCAAACTCTGAAAAAGTTGCACTATCCTAAAAAAAAAATTCAATGTGCCACATAAGACTCCCCCCTCTCCCCAAGATTGTTTATGGAACATGGAGCTGGAAGCAACGCTTTCACAAATTTTTTATTCGACTGTTGCAAGCAACAATCACCTGAAGATTGTCAGTATTTAGCACAACAGTTACACCATGCGTGTGTAATTAGTACCTAAAAAGCGGTAATGATAAGCATTATGTAATGATAAGCAACCCGGGGAAATTTCTCTTTGGTAGAAACCTCCACAGGTGGAACGAGGGGACGCGTGAATTTGTTTCCACTCAGATGAAGGTTGACATCGGTTGGCCACATGTTGCATGTGTCAACTTCATCCTTTCAAGGGGCATTATTTCAGGAGAGGAACACACTTCTGATAAGTAGGCAGTGGGACACAGATTCGGATCTAGCGAACATCCAACGTGTTCGGGATTCTCAAATGGGTTTGCATTTGCAACATATATATTACATATATATATGTATATATATATAACATCTCGCTCAGTAAACATCAATTTGCACAGTACATAATTGGAACACTTCATCCCACCCGATGGTAACCAGCTCGTTTATATGCTGTTTACTACCACACACAACTTCATGTAGATATATATTTATTGGACGTGGGTTGTTTCAGCAACTGATGGAGTAATCGTAGATCGTTTGTAAGCAGAGGGGAGGCACACATAGAAAAGGCCAAGGAATGTTGGATATGAAATATATTCCTGACATAAAATAATTTGCATCTCTATCGAGGCTCTGTGCAGATATTTCCCGAAACGCTGTTGCAATTTTATTTACACAAGTGCATTTTCCGTTCAATCCTTTCTTATTTTCCAGAAATGTTATAAGGCAATGAAGTGGAGCTTTGAACTGGATTGATTTTGTTTTCCCTTTTACGGAGTGTAGTGAAATCGCATTTGTGTGGTTTCATTGCGTTATCACGAACACGTTAAGTCGCATTTTACGGTTCACGATTGATAGTTATGGTAAAATATTAACACTGCTCATGAAAATCAATAAAAGTAAAAACGTTATTGTGAGAGTTAGTTGGTTGCGTGTATTTTTGTATCAATATTTTCTTAGAATATATCTGAAAAGAAACTTTTGATAACAATCACAAAACTAATGTATACCAGATTGCATCTCTGGTGTTAATTTTTGCCTATAAAGGAAGGTTATAACAGAGAAAGGTGCATTTTCATTTGTTTCATTCTGCACTTGAAGATCGACTCACAGCCGTTGCAATGGTTATCAAAGCAAAACGTTGCTTTAATAACCTTCAACTCCACGTCTACCCCCGTAACGAAGATTTCAATAAACTATATGTTGAAACGTTATTTTGTTTGGCGGCAGGTTTCATGGCAGCAAAGATACCTCTACTTCTGGTTCGTTCTTGCATTCAACATTCAAATTACGAGTGGGTAAGTGTTTTTCATCGATAAAATATATTTTTATATATATATATATAAACGCGGGCTTTGTTTAAGAGAGTTACATCGTTTTCCTTTCACTGAACTGAATACATGTTGTTGCGCTCTGTCGCGCTGTGAATTACATTTTCTAAGTCTATCTTGAAAATACCTTTGCACTTGTCCATGTTATATAACGAAACTTTTATACCTGACATAGAAACAGTTACCCCAACAAACACTGTAGGTATTTGCAACTACAACAGAGGATGGCATCTATTTGAAATACTTTTATTTTAAATACTAGAAGTCTTTTTTGATTCAACATTTTAATTCTAATTATATATATATATATATATATATATATATATATATATATATATATAGCCTTTTGGTAAGTTCTTGTTAAGTCTTGTTGTCTAATGCCAGTTACTTTTTTTTGCTGTGATATAGCTTCATTGTTTTTCCGAGGATATTTTTCCGATACGAAAATAAAATCGGATCCTTTCGGATACGCAGTTTAGAGTGGTTTGATCGAGTTTAAAGTTTTTTTTTATTATTACTTAGCTTTTTTAATTAATTTTTTTTTGGCCTCGTTTAAAAATTACAATTTAAACCGTGATCCTAAAAAAACGATTTCTTTATTTCAACTAAAAATCGAAAGCAATCGTCTAAAAGTGTCACCGTTATAAATTACATTTAGGAAAGTAGAAACGAACTAAGACTCTATTTTGATCACTGCAGTTAAATAATCAGAATTTATTGTTTTCGTGAGACCAACAGCAGTTATTATCTTTTTTTAAAATTATTTGCGGAATGCAAAATATTCTAATTTTCAAATGAAAAGATACGACTTTGGGCAGCACTGCAGTGTCTCTTCTTGACCTCTACTTCGCAGGATAAAGTACTTTAACTCAGCTTAATTTCAGATAATTTTTTAACGAAAATTAAAGAGATCACAAGTTCTGCATCTGCACCGTAATGAAAAAAAAACGAAGCCATTTAAACGTTCTTGATGATCAAATCTACAGTTTACTCCAAGCACTTACATTCAACGCCCACACATTTAATATATTTTGTTTTACAGGCGTGTTGGGGATTTAACAAAATCTCGAAATCTAATTGAACGTGTGGATGTCATTCTCATACACCGTGTGTATGAGAATGACATCCACACTCTGATTTAGTTAAAAAAAATTTGCTTTAAAAATTTTAATTCTGACCTACCGTCGAGTCCTGCTGTATTTATTTTGTTCCAAATCCACTTAACAATCGTCCCCAAAACTTTTTTTTGGGTTTTTTTCTCGCCGAACCCAGTCTCAGTTTCCTTCTTTGATCTCTTATGTTTCCAGTATAATTATTATTCCATAGAATCTTACCTGGGTTGATTTATATTTTATATCATTAATTTCCTCTAATTGCTGTTTAGATAAGTATAGGTTAGCAATGGGGCAAACGAGAGACGCCTTCCGGTTGATGAGCAAAGAAAGACATCTGGTTTGACGCTACGTGAGTAATAGTCCATCTCAGAGTTTCAGATGCAATAGAAATCAAAAAAACTATTTGGAGCCCAATCTTCACCCAGGCTCTTGAGTATGGATTGGGTTAATAGCAAACGGCTTTTTTTTTTGTTGTTTTAAAAAAAAAATCTCCCCCCACCCAAAAATATAATTTTCCAATCAATTTGGGGAGTGAGGACCATAGTAATAATAGCTTTCGATAACTTGCACACTATCTGAGCGTCAGAGGCGATGTCGCCTCAGTCAGGCATTGGAAATAATGAGAGTCTGAGCCCTTGAGAGATGATTGCAATGAAAGTACTAGAATTAACATTGAAGCGAGTAAGCAATACGCTTCCTTATAATTGGAGTTGGAAAACTGAAGACCTCCAGGATATTTCTTTGGGGAAGGCTTCCACTCCAGTTTAAATTAGCTCTGCCTGGGCAGACACTTTTTCTTAGATTCTGGATGATATTGAACGACCTGATCTGCATCAGGTCCCAGGAGTTTCCAAGCTGGAAAGAACAAACTGGCTCACTTGAACACCGAGTGTGTCCTAGAACTGCCCAAAGGCAGAGTGAAATATTATGGTTGTCTATCACCGGACGGACAACCATAGTCGACGAGAGCCTCGTCAAAAGTTGCATTATAAAGGAAAGTCGTGTGCGTACCTTAACCTCATCCCAAAATACAGACGGATTGTTGCTGTGCATGTTTTTCCAGTTAAAAGTCAAAATAGAAGACATGGCAAGTGGAGGATTTACTTGTCATAAAAAGCGACGAGGCCGAGAGGGGTAATGATCGCAACGACGGTATTAACATTTCTGCCTCCGATGCATTTGGATTAAATGACATCTGAGAGCAATGGGAACATCAGTGCAGAATTTTGTGTGGGGGGAAAGGGACGACAACGTGCGCCTATTGAGTGGCCTTTTGCGACCTGGAGGACACACCTGTAGAAATGTACCTTATAAAACGCCCCCCCCTCATAAGGAAAGAAACGAGGAAGGGACGGAATACCAAATGGCTAAAACACAGAGTGTGTAAAGGTTGGTGGAAATCATATGGTGGAAAGTTTGGGAAGCTGTCGCTTTGGGAACGAAAACTCCCACCATCTCCCCCCCTCCCCCCCCTCCCTCCCTCCCTCTCTCCCTCTATCCCCACTTTAGAAAGCTGTCAACTGACCTCTCAGGGCGCCCCCACCCCCACCCAATTTTTTTTGAAATTCTTGCTGTCGTTGCTTTCCTTCCACTTTATGTCCGCTCACTCTTCGCAGTTCATTCGTTCCGCTTGGTCGCCTTCTTGGTGGGGCTCCAGGTGAGGTGCCACTCGCAGGTAGAGGTGGTCAAGGCGTCTGCCCGGGAGCTCACCTCTCCAAACTGGCGCCAGGGTAACGGTAAAGAGCACCTGTGGGCAATCAGTGGTCCAGCACTCAGCAAGGATGAGCACTGGCTTCTCTCTCCTGTGTGTGTGTGTGTGCACAGTGTCTTCAAGATGAAGA